CACGACCCTCTGCATCTTTTGCTCTGCCAGGGTCCACCTACTTGACAATGAACAAAGACCACTTCTCATATAGCATCACGCTTACAAACATAAAGGTGCCTGCATCTCCAAACTTTACAATCAAACGTGGGGTTTTTATTACAGCAATGGGCTCGGCTTGGCCAACAGCACCTTGTGTGAAAGTTTCGCATTCAATGTCGCAAACAGCCCAAAAAATATTTTTTTGGTCGTCGTTGAAAGAGGTTGAGCCCCGGATCCAGTTTGGCTGGTGGCGACATTGCGAAATCTGGGATTGCCCACGATGAACTTCATACTTTGACACAAGATTCCTTTGACCCCGACGAGCACGTTGATCTATTAAAGAGTCCACGTTTGATTATAAAGTTTAGAGATACAAGTGCCTTTATTTTTTATCTATGCTGTAAGCGTGATGCTATATGAAGAGTGGTCTTGATCATTGCAAGCAGTTCAACCCTGATAGAGCCAAAGATGCAGAGGACGTGTTTGTGTAACAGCCGATTGAGCAGACCTGGAAGTGTCAATGCTGCAGGTGGATCATCTTGTGCATGATAGTTCCCCACTATAGTAAGGTCCGCCTATGGTATGTAGGCCGCATAGCACTTTTTTCAAGTTGACTATGGTAGAGTTTAATGGGCCAAAAATGTTCAGTGTATCACAAAGTATCTTGTATGAAAGGATGAGAGTGGCAATCGTAGTTTCGTTTGCCCTCTACTACATACTACAGCCTACTATCATGATCGAGGGATGTGTGTATGTAACATTCTTGGCATGTGAGCGCGCTCTTTAGCGCTTGATACTAGTAGCATAAATGACGCGGGGAAACGTTTGGCATAGGGGTACTGTACACAGCAGCATGGGGTGCCAAGAAAGAACGAACAATTCCTTTTTCCACACTTTCCGGTATTTGAATCGGTAAACGTATTTGTGTTGTGGGTTTGTATGCTTGAGAAAAGGTTTTACCCATACATGGGATACAATCCATAAATCCGGAACAGGAGATCGTTACATGTTCAATTGGTTTGTACACGTCGATTGCAACTGTGGCTGCTGCTTTGTTATCGGTGGACAGCATTGTGTTACCTCCTGAGCACAACACCCTTCTTGTTTGTTGTGATTGCAAATCTTTGGTTGATTACTTGATATGTGTAAATCAAATGCTTGAGAATTGGATACATGGTATGTGAGATGGTTGTCATACGCGAATCCCGATTGCCATTGCTTAATTCGTAAGATATTGCTTCTTTGACAATAGGCTGCATAAGCTGTTGTTGTTTGTGCAATGGTGTTGCATAACATGCAAAGGGATAGGCGTTGACGCAATATTCGTCATATGACGGAGGTTCTTGTGTTAAAGTATTCCCGGATCGGGTGCCTTTACAAGATGGGACACATGGGGAAAAAGTGAGGGGGATGGAAATCATCTGCTTTTTGTGCTTTGATGCTTTGGATGATGCTCCGGCATGATTGGCCAAGGCAGAAATCTTTCCCACGTGGCGGACACTAATTTCGTGTGTATTTATTGTCAACGATAGGACAGCGGTGGTGGGGCCATTCGGCTTTCAATACCTTTTTCTTTTCTCTCTTTCTTTTTTTTCAAACTGGACAACCAACAACGCAACAGCCAACCTAGCAGTCGCCGTGCTTCGGTCGATATTGAGCTAGCACCAACACCAGCAACCATTGCTGCCAGCAGTGGTAAAAGCACAGCTCACTCTTTTTCCTTTGCAACAAAAGACGACGAGGAAGCGGAATCCACTGCATCGAAAAAATCAAGCTCGTCATCACGCCCGAAATATTGGTCATGGTTAATGTGGTGGAATACAGATGATTGGTGGCCCTGTTGGATCGGCTTACTCTTTTTTGGATGCGTTTCGGCTGCTGTTCAGCATGGCATTCCTGAACCAGTGTTTCTGCCATGGACCACAAATCCTTTCATGACGTTTGCAACGGTTGGCAATTATGGTCTCATTGTTATTTTTGTTGCCATGGGATTGTTGCTATGGTTGTGCATGGCATCCACTCGAACTCAGCATTGGAAGCATTATCCTCTTGGCTACTTGATTGTCTTTTTCGTTGCCCTGATTTCGAACATGCTTGCAGCTAATGGTATGCGTCTTTAAAGATTGCACATTTATTCGCATTGAGCTTACTCATGCATGGTTACCTAGAGCAAATTAAGAAAGCAAGCATCAACTCATCCATTTGGGCTATCATTTTCGGCTGTTGTATCCGTAATCTGATCGATTACTTAGGCCGACCACTACCACCTTCGTTGAAAATTGCGCAACAAACCGAACTATACATCGCTACAAGTTTAGTGCTTTTATGCATTGACATCTCAGTACTTGCACCACTCGCGCCACGTGCCCTTTTTGTTAGTTGGATCGATACACCATTGTTGTTTATGGTTGTTGCATGGCTTGGTTGGCAGTTCATGGGCATTGATCGACAAACAGCCATCATCCTTTCGGGTGCGACATTTATTTGTGGTTCATCAGCAGCTATTGCACTTGGCTCCAGCATGGGCGTTCCACATAAAACCCAAATGCCAATTGCCATCATTTCCATTTTCACGATTCCAAGCATCATTGCTTTGCCTTACATTGGTAAAGAAATTGGACTCAACGCACATGCAAGTGGTGCATGGTTTGGTGGATGCGTCGATTCCACTGGTGGTGTACTTGCTGCTGCAAGCATTTATGGTGACAAGGATGCTATCAATACATCAGCCGTTGTCAAGATGGTCCAAAATGTTCTCATTGGCCCCCTGTCAGTGATTATGGCATGGGGTTGGTCAAAGTACGAATTACGCAAGGAACGTGAAGAGGAAGAGTTATTACAAATGTCATCACCATCATCATCATCACGTCCATCCAAAAAGAACAAGATGGATAAGCCCATTGTAATGCTATGGAAACGATTCCCCAAGTTCGTATTGGGATTTATCATTACAGCTGTACTGTTCAACACGGTCATTGGAAGCGACCCCGACATCCGTACCAATATCAACAATTACTGCTTTTACGTCTCCGAATGGTTTTCGACCTTATCATTTGTCAGCATTGGCCTTGGACTCAAAATCAAGGAGATGAAGGAGAACATTCGCCATCTCGGAAAGCTCTGCACCTTGTATATCGTGGCGCAAACCGTGGATATTGGTATCACTGGTCTCCTTGCATGGGTGGCCTTTTCATTCATGTAACTATCATACTACTCCCTCCCCTACCTCAAACTCGTGGATAATACCTTTTAACCCATAAAACTATCACATCATCCCGAGCATGATCCCGCAACAATCCGCCTCTATTCAACCTTTATCTAGATGATGCTTGTATCAAATAAATAGCTTCTGATTCAGGCATGCAATGTACATGACGCGAAATGGATTTGGTATTACATGTTGGATGGTAATGCTGCCATAACAGCATGGGCAGCGTGACATTCTCGTATGCTTTCGAATCTTCTTTGATCGCCGTAACCACTATTACGCCAATGCAATGCATCAACATCATTAAAAGTTGTGCAACTATGGTTATGGGTAATGTGCAAAATGAGCAAACCATTACGCCACAAAGCACGTACTCCCAAGGATAGCCTTGTTTACTGGATCATTGATCCACAATGCTAAGCATCATGTCATCTATATACAGGCTTGGTAAAAAAAAAGAATGTTCTAAAAGCCAGCTTCGTTGCCTAGGAATTTTGGTGGCTATGGCAATAATCACCATAGCAACATAAAAAGGGATCGTCTTTTTAGGTAGCCCCTGTTTTTTTCCTGCATGCTCTTATGGTTCCATAGCCTGCAAAGTTTTTCTTCTTGGAATGAAGAAACTTTAGAATACTGAAGCAATGGTAAAAACGAGAAGCGTCCATTTGGATGAGGGATGCATTAGGGTCAAATAAACACATAGGTGAGGCATGCATTAGCATCATAAGTGGCAGATGGCAAATCCCAATGATATATATAAACCATGTTTTTGTCATTTCTAATTCTCCATAGACCAGGCACCAACATGGCTATTAGACATTTACTATCTTCCATCTTACTCTTTGGAGGTTTTGCAGCTGCATTCCCATACAAGCATGATTATGAGTGGGTTACCCAATATCTAGGCGACTATTCTCCTTATCCTGGTTCAGCAGGTCCTATTCCAGCGACTGATCCTATCACATCCCAATACAATGTCGAGCAGCTCCATGCTTTCTTACGACACGGGACACGTTATCCTGAGAAAGATAACACCAATGGGATTGCCTCAGTGGTGCAGAAATTGTATTATGCCGAAAACAAGACGAGCATTCCTTGGATTGATGAATACGTGAACGAATTCAAAAGCGAAAATGTCTTTCGGCTTGATACAATCGGCGTAATGGAGCTCTATGAACATGGAGAACGTATGGCTGCTAGCTATCCTGATCTTATCAAGGCAGCTGTTTCATTCAATGAGACTACAAATCAATCACAACTCAATGACGTCTTTGAGAGCTACGTGTCACCAACACCACGCACTCGTCGTTCAGCCATTGCCTTTCATCGTGGTTTGTTCAAGGACGTATCAAAAGACAAAGCAAGCCAAACATTGTTGGGCCAATTTGTGAAGCGCTTTATTCCCAACCAAGGACACATTGATGAAAGATACGATGCAATGAACGCTGAACAGTGCGACAAGACGATTCATGAACCAGGCAGTTGGCGTATGCAAAAAGTACATCAGTGTTTTGATCGTTTTGGCATGGATGCAGCCAAGAGGCTAACGCTGCAATTGGGCGGAAATTGGACGCCTCAAGATGTTAAATTTGCATACTATGGATGTGCCTTTGACGTGTCCCTTCATCAACGTACCGACACGTTTTGTTCTTTGCTTACACCAGAAGAAATAGAGAACCTGTACTATTGCTTCGACCTTAAATACTATTACGTCCTGGGTTATGGTAATCGCTTAAAGGAAGGTGTTGTTTGCGATCTCATGCGTGATACGGTGGACAATATTATGCACAAGCAAAAAAGGATCATCACGCGTGCGTCACATGACACCATGATTGAAGGATTAGCAACGCTGTTTGAGTTATTCAAGGACCCATCTCCTTTGGAACCTGACTGGTCGATAGAGCAAATTAGACAGCGCAAGTTTCAAGGCACTAAGCTGATGCCCTTTGGTGCGAACATGGTATTACAAGTGCTCACTGAGAAGAATGGCAGCGAAGAAGAGGAGGAAGACAACAGCACAACTACACAAAAATGGATCCGCTTTTTGCTACATGAACATCCCATGGTCCTCCCTGGATGTCAAAACGAGGTGTGCCCATTGGATGATTTTATCTCTTGGATTCAAAAACGCTTGGAGAAATGTCCCAGCTATCATGATGCATGTGCCAGTGTACCTCAAGTCAATGAAGAGCCTAAAGGCCCCATGAGTAATCTCGACTAGATGCCCTTATGCCCACAAAGCTTTAATTCAGTGAACATGTTTTATTGTGATCAAAATGAAGCACGGCTATTTAAACTTCCCTCATCAATGTATACGTTTGCCGCTTCACACTCCATTACCAATCAATGCTGGCGTTTATTATGCGATGATGATGAGACGTGAAATGTTTGAAGGGTAAAGCTGCAAAGAGCATCCTTTATTCCAATGAAATGAGAGAGATGGATTATAGGGGGGATGGTTGCATTACAAGGTATGTACTCTACACCTTCCACATGCTTTGGCAAATAAATGTATACCAAGCAATGTTACAATTTACCGGGTAAACATGTAGGCCGAGAATGTGTGCTACTGAGACCAAACTTAATTGGATATCAACGATCGACCCGCAAAAGAAGCGCTTGTTGCACCGCTTAGTTTCATATGGCCGAAGAAGTGGAAAAGGAAGAAGAGAAGAAAACAAGAAAGCCTGTTGGTAATGCATGCCTCGTCTATGCTTGGATCCCTTTCGAGCCCATTGCTAACCTTCTTGTACTGTAGACGGCGCCTTTCGACAACAACGGTTACCAGCATGGCAACCCGTCTTGACTCCCCGAAGTGTCCTTCCAGCATTCTTCATTGTTGGCATTTTGTTTCTTCCCATTGGTGGTCTTCTTTACTGGTCTAATGGAAGAGTAAGTGTGGTGCATTCCCCTTTGTCGAATGGTCTCCCTTACTCATCATGTGTCTAGGTGGACGAAATCATGATTGACTACTCGCACTGCAGCCAATACGAGACGCCTGTTTATCTTGCGCCAAGCTTGTACAGTTATCTGATGTCCAAGGATACGAATATGACCGATATGGAAGTGCCAGCCTATCACTATGAGAACACCACTGTTTTTCAAGAGCCCGAGTTCAGCAATCCCAACAACCTGACGTTTAAGCAATGTGTATTGGATTTCACTGTACCAAAGACCATGCAGGGTCCCGTTTACATGTACTACCGCCTTACCAACTTTTATCAAAACCACCGCCTTTACATTAAAAACTACGACCCAGAGCAACTCCTCGGCCATATCGTCGGCAGCAGCACACTCAATACCAATTGTGGACCACTTGCATACACATCAGATGGAAGAGTCATTTATCCTTGTGGCCTGGTAGCCAATTCCATGTTCAATGGTGAGTATCCTTCTCATTCATGAACAATGAAATGTATTAATCCATGTTTATGCAATTACCAGATACGGCATCTAATCTGACGTCAGTAACAACGGGAGGCAATTACACTTTCAGTCGAAGCAACATTGCATGGCCTGAAGATTTCCAAAAATATCGACCCACACAGTATCCTATTGAACAGTTGGCACCCCCTCCTAATTGGGCATTGAGATATCCCAATGGCAGATACACTGAAGAATATCCACCACCAGATTTGAACAGCATGGAACGACTGATGGTGTGGATGCATATGGCAGCGTTACCTGATTTCCGTAAGATTTGGGCTCGCAATGACCATGATGATCTTCCTGAAGGCCGTTGGCGTATCTATATTGATATGAGTAAGTAAAAGGGATGGGAATCCAAATGGAATCATGTTGCTAAGCAGCCCCATTTCATTTTATTTTTAGACTTTGACACGCTGCAGTATGAAGGAACGAAATGGCTGGTGTTGTCAACAACATCACCCCTCGGAGGACGGAACCCTTACATTGGCATTGCCTATTTGGCTATTGGTGGATTGTGTATCCTCATTGGTTTAATATTCACTTTGGCTTATTGTATCAAACCAAGGTTTGTGTTGGGTTGGGTTGGGCATGTTTATTGTATCCATGGTGATGATCTTGAGCTCTGATATTTGTTTCCAAACTAGAAAATTGGGCGATCCTACCTATCTTTCTTGGAACAAACCCGGTGGTGGTTTGCCAACAAACAAGCGTCGTCAAAAGCTGGAAAAGGGCGAATAGAGAACCACACACACCCACACACACGCACGCGTATACACAGCACACGGCACATCATCTCCTCCACCTTTTTATAACAACAACATGCACGCACGCACATCACATCTATACACACATACGCAACCAATCTCACGACAATAACACGATACTAGCCTATCCAGTGAATCTACACCATGTTTGTTCTTGCATTATTATATATAAAATCGCCTTTCGCTCCTTGAGAATCTCTTTTGGAAGACCATCATGTTGAGCTAAAACATACACAGCAGTATGAAAGGAATGGGATGGCTTTGGAAAAGAATGTTGGATGGCTCTTGTAATGCATCGCGTGGCTGACGCACACACCGCATGTCTGTTTGCGCTGCAGCTGCATCTCCTTTTCCCTTCCCATTAAGGTGGCAAGTGGGTGTGGTTATAGCAAAAAGCGGGAAAAGGGGGCCATGCAAGCTTTATTTTCTTTAACAATTGGCTTCCTTGCTTTGACTCTTTTACACGCGGTTCTTCTTTTTCTCTCTTCCTCTTCACTCTCACGCTCTTTTTACCTCCCCTTTTTTTAATTCTTTCTTTCTTTTCCATGGGTTGCCACGAGTTTTGGAGTAAATTGACCGACAAAGGATATCCGACAGACGAAGAAATCAGAAACAGTGGCGAGCGAATACCTGAATGGGACAAGGTTCCTCAAACCACTGTATGGGAGAGATGGGCCTATTACTTTTACTAGTAAGCGAGGAGGATGGCTGGGGTAAAAAACATACAATCCAAACAACTCACTCGACCCACTGCATGTCTACTCACATGATGGTCAACAGTAACGGAGTAAGTGTATAACTTTTATACCGATGCATTGGGCACACAAAGATCTAAACCATTGTATGCTGCTGCGCACGTACAATTCATCATTCAACAACAGAACAATGGGGCAAGTCAACTTCATGTCATTTCTGCATTCAGGTGTACATATGCAAACTAACGAGAAGACCGATATTTTCCGCGTGATGATAATAGATCAATAACTATGCGTATGTTCCTAATATGGTCCAGTACTTGACGAGCCAAAATGGATGGGATCCTACCAGAGGTCCTGCAGGCGTTATACGATGCGATGCCGATTCACCTTGCGATACACGATTGGGTGGATCCGTCATTAGTGTGGAAAGCATCATGCTGGTGGTGGGAGGGCTAAACGCTTTCATCCAAGCCATCTTGTTAACCACCATTGGTATGTTATCGATTGTCATGTGTCGTAGCCACCCGATTTAACCCCCCTTTCTTTCATTATTAACGCATGCAGGATCGCTGGCCGATTATGGAAACAATGGATCACACATGCTACTTATTATCACGCTGATATCTTGTGCAGCCCAAATCGTTTTTCTTGTATTCGACGAAGAATCCAGTTGAGTAGTTACAGCATTCGCATCTATGCACAAGATACTAACGAGGTGGTGGTGTGCATCTACATAGGTTCCTATTGGGGTGTACCTTTGGCTGTGGGTCTTGTTTTCCAAGTCAGCTATGGTGCATCGCTTGTATTCTATTGGGCTATTTTTCCACAATTAGCTATTAATGAACCCAAAGTGCGGGCTGCCAAGCGTGAAAAGGTGGATCCAGAAGAATACATGGTCATTGAATCCATTGCACGTAACCATATCTCCGCCGTATCAACCGCATGGTCCAATATCGGGTTTCTCGTGATATCCGTTCTCAATATTGGCGTTGGACAAGCAATGGCATCTCGATACAATACGCCTGTCAATCAACTGCCAAAGTATACGAATTCAATATTCAGTGCAATGTGTGGTGGCTATTGGCTGCTATGTGCCATCCCTTGGTTTGTGCTGCAAAAGAATCGACCAGGTCCACCGTTGCCACCCAACACCAATTATTGGACACTTGGATGGAGAAAAGGTAAGGAAACAAGTCCCATGTTCATGATGACATTATGTGCTCACCTATGAAAAGTGGGTCGTGCATTACGTGAATACCACCGATTACCGCAAACATTCTTGTTCTTTGTCGGCTACTTTTTCTTGATGGATGCAGTGAGCAGCCACAATCAGGTGACACAGGTGCTTACATATAGCATGACCGATTACAATGGTCTTGTTCAGACGTATATGAATCTCGTCAACTCGGCATGTTCCATCATTGGCTGCTTGCTCTTTCTTTACCTCCAAAAGCGGTTTCAGCTCGCTACCAAGACGATGCTTCTCATATCGACAGGATTTACATTGGCTATTCCATTATGGGGTTGTTTTGGTCTAGGCACTGATATGATTGGATATCATCATGTTGTTGAATTGTGGATTTACAATGCGTGGTACGTATGAGAAAAAAAATATACCAGCCCCTGAATGAATGATGGCATCTTTCGCTCATTTGTCTATTTTAGGTTTGGCATCTTTACTGCTCCTTTTTATGCATATTCACAGACACTGATGTAAGCTTGCACTCTATTTATGCCATGAACATTTATTAACACATGTGCACAAAAAAGGTCGGAGCTGATTCCCATGGGATGTGAAAACATGTTCTTTGCACTCTTTGGCATCACAAGTAAGGTCGCCCAATTCTTTGGTCCTGCTGTTGTCGGAGGGATTACTCAAGGCACACGCGATGCACGTACTGGATTCATTTATTGTACGCTTTGTCAATTCCTTGCCCTTGTCATTATTTCCTTTGTCAACATGGAGAAGGCTGAGATTCGACTACGTGTATACGAGGAACAAGAACGTCGTAAATCCGAAACTGTACAAGATTTACTTGACCACATGCATTCACCATTACCGCCGCCACCTCCATCACCTCCATTGAACGCTACGCCTGATATCGATTCATCCATCTATACCACACCCTATCATCCAGCACCCTTGTATGAAAAGGATCACGATTATCAACATCATCGTCATCATGAACCAGAAACGGATCGTTATGGATTTTGAATTGGCTATACTTTGTTTATTGTATTCATAGCATTAAAGAAACATTTGTACAGAAATCAAAAGAAAAAGAAAGAGAGAAGGGCGAGTTGACATGAAATAACGAGAGGATGGAGGAGGACGAGGAGGAAGGAGAGGATAAATGGTGTATAAGGGATCAAATTTTAAGCTTGGATTTCACGAGCGAATTGGTCGCAGATAGGAAGATAAGTCTGGCAAGGTTGTTGTAAATGAGGATAGCGAGCAATGATTTGACCATAGATAAATCGGCAGAATTGCTTTTGCAACCAATTCAAAGGACAATTCTCAGGAAGGCCATTACGACTCACTGCTGTTGATTGTTCCTCGAATGCTTCTTCCTCATCCCAGAAATCGAGACTCATTTCACGGCGTAATTGTTGAGCTTCCCAAATGGATCGTAACTCTTCGCCAGTAGCCATCTTTTTGGATGATCGAGTACTGAAATGAGGACCAAACCACATATCGTTGATAAACGTATCTGTGACGGAGGGTGGTGGTGGAAGCAACTTGGCATGACGCACAAGATCCTGGGTCGTCATGGTCATTGTATGACCAAGAATAATCGACATGAGAGCTGGGGCCAACAATGGATAATGATAAAACAAGTCCGTGCCTGGAGATGTCATCATGGAGGCCTTGTTGAGAATAGTACCCAAGTCCCATTCAGGCATCACAGCATGTGATAAATAGGTTTGGTGGTGATAAGAGGGTTGTTGTTGTTGATGAGGGTGGATGGTGGTAGTCGTATCCGTTGGCAACATCAAATCCCATGAATCGACATTGTTGTAGTCACCAGGAGACGGGTTGCTATGCGACGAAATGGTCGAATTATCCGAAGAGTGAGCAAAGGCTGGATCAGTGCTGCCAAGTGAAGGAGGAGACAATGACGATGGTCTTCCATGATTGGTAACAGGAGGATGAGGATATTGTGCTGGTGGTGCAGTCGTTGAAGGTACAATGTATTGTGTAGTAGGTCGACGAGGTTGAATTCCTTCCTTACACAAGACAAGCTGCAATCGTAGCTGATCATTCTCCTTTTGTAACTTGTCCACAGTACCACGAATCCAAGTAACTTCAAGTCGTAATCGGTTGTTCTCTTGTTTCTGCTTTTGTACTTCATTCTCCAACATGGAAATGTATTCTGCATAGATAAAGAATATGAATGACCCTATTCTCTTACTCCTTTTGTTCACCCATCCACTTACCCTTTCTGCGATTTCTAAACTTGCGAGCAGAGATCTTATTTCTTAGCTGTCGTCTCTCCTTGGACGTCATCATCTTGAGTTGTGTCTCTGAAAGATAATCCTCATCGTCATGTTGATCACGTTCAGCTTGCTTTTCAAATGTCAACTCGGTGGGAGCATCAAAGCCAATAACACCTTGGTCATCCTCATGTGAACAAGCATCACCAGCACATTTGCTACTATTGGACATCTTGCCGTTGGGGCTACCACATGGAGCAATAGTCGTGGAATCATTGCTTGGCGGTTGTTGTTGTGTTACATTGGATGGTGTTGGCTGTTGTTGTTGTTGTTGTTGCAGTGATACCGTTGCCTGTTGTTGTTGTTGTTGTTGAGGAGGTGGTGGTGGGGAAGTAGACAACGTTGAAGGCATGGTTGGAGCATTGTACAATGGCTGTTGCTGTTGTTGTTGTTGCTCATTGCCAAGAAAGTAGTTGAATAAATCAGCCCCAGGCTGTTGTTGTTGGTGCTGCTCATTGGAAGGGACAAAGTCTGCGGGAACCACGGGAGCGGTCAAGTCGACTGTTGGGTCCGACATTAGAATCCAATTGAGCAGTTGTTGGTTGTCATTATTGTTGTTGTTCATAAAGGGCGAAGGAAAGTAAGGCACCAGTGGGAAAAAGTAAAAGTAAAAAGGAAAGGAGCCGTAGTTGGAGGGATTACCCGAAAGAAAGGAAAGGAGAAGGAGCTCTGCTTTCTCGTCATTCGTCCGGTCATTTAATGTCTTGTGTCACCAGCGTGCTCGTGGCAAAAAGATCTCTCTCATTTTGTTGGGTGCCGATCCCATACACACACTCACACTCACACATACGCTCACACTCCACTCCACACTCAACCAACCAACCACATTAATTTAGGGTATTATCGGCAACAGTATATATTTGTGACCATATGCACATGAACAACAAGCTGAAATAAAACAAGAAGATATGTTACAAAGGGGGGGGTTTACGAAGGGGGAATGTGTATAATGATGATGACTATAAGGGATGGATAAATAATAGTACTACTACTGTTGTTGCTCTTGCTCCTCTTCTTGGCTATTGTAATCGGGTTCTGCAGGACGATGGGCAAGTGACTCAAGCGCCGATTGCACAGCATGATCGGCACTCCAGTGGAAAAATGGATACTTGTCCTTGGGTAATGTGATCACTGCTGCATGAAGCTTTTCATCCTTATCGGTAGAGCCACCCAACGATTCGAGATCATCCAATTGTTTTTGATGCTTTTGTTGACGTCGAATGCTTTCTTCAAGTTCATGTTGAGGACCATCTCGGGATGATGGCACCACTGGTAAAATCTCGGTTGGGCCCGTGAGCTGTTGTTGTTGATGATCACCTGATGTTGAAGCATCATCGACATGGATGGATCGAGGTTGTGTGCCAAATCCAGCAACAATCAAGGAACGACGCACCGATGGATTGGGAACATTGACAAAATGAAATTCGACATGTTGATCGGCATATCGATTGAGCGTATTTTGTACATCCACAATAGCTTGCAAACCACTGGAATCAAGTCGATTGACTCCGCCAAAATCAAGAATGATAGCATGCAATCGAGGTAAGCTGGCACGTTCAGCATCACGTTGTGGACTAGCATCATCATTCCATGCTCGCTCAGCTTTGGTGGGTATACGACCAGCACGACGTGTATGATCCTTGCAATGACGAATGATACGATCAGCCAAAAATCCAGAGTTGGGGTATGTCATGGATTCATCGACTCTGAACATGATAATGCCGCGTGGTAGGGACTCGACCAATTTGCCAAGAGTAGGATGGTTGGTAGGTACATATAAATGCTCGGATGATGATGATGGTGCTGACAATAGTTTTTCTTGTGGCTCTTGTGGTTGTTGTTGCTTGGTCAATTGGATACGGCCAAGGGCTGCCACACGAGGACGAGCAATGCGGAATAAAAGAATGACAGCAGACAATGCAACAGAGCCATAGATACCATAATCCACAGTCGTAAAGAATGTGACAATAACAGCCACCAAAAATACTAGCAACTCCCATAAGCTCACTTTGGCAAGTCGCTTAACGTAGCTTGGACCCGATACCAAATCCGATACAGCATGAATAACCACAGCAGCAAGCGTTGCATCAGGAATGTAGTAGAATGCAGGTGTTAAAGCATACAATGCGAGCACCACAACGGCACCAGAGAAGATACCAGCAATAGGTGTCTTGACGCCTGATCGTGATTTGATGGCTGTACGAGAGAAGGAACCAGTAGATGGATACGCTCTAATTGAAAATTCCCAATACAAAAGGTTAACACCCTTGTTGTATCCACCACCATCACCATCCTTCATGAAGCTTACCCAAAGAACGAAGCCCAAATGTTGGTAAATCCGATAGCAATAATTTCCTGATTGGGGTCAATGCTATAATCATTGATGCGTCCAAATGATTTGGCAATGGCCACGTGTTCAAGAATCAAGACAATGACACCTGATGGCAATTGACTGCTGATAGCTCCAAGTAAGGATGGCGAGATATTAGGTACAGCCATAGCTTGAAAACCTGCAGGTACATCTTTGAGGATACTGATAGGGCTGGTGTCTCTGCCGATGTTGATAAGGAATGCAATCAAGGTGCTGACAATGACGACCAAGCCGTTACGCATAATGCTGAAAAAGAAAAGATGCATTCGGTATTTGGGGTATCGCTTGCCAAAGTACTCGCATGCGTATCGTACACCATAGAGCCATAAGAGCCCAATCAATCCAAAAGCAACATCGACTTTGGTATTAGGTAGATTCTTGAAAAAGTTGCCGAAAATAAGATATGATGAGTCTTGGGTATTGATGCCCTTGATGCCTAAAGATCATTATCACATGTAAGCTTTTTCGTTTTTTTTTCGATGATGCAGTCTTTTGGTGTTCCGATCCAACTGAGACACACCCACGTACCAAAAAGCTTGGGCCATTGACCAATGCTGATCGTGATAGCAGAGCCTGTCATAAATCCGGAGATGGCTGGTGCTGGAATGAAATCGACAAGAATGCCGAGTCGCACCAAGCCAATAAACATGGCAATAGCACCCGTCATGATGGAAAATGCTACAGCAATTTGCTCGGCCGTAACATCAGGATACTCTGAAGTGACTTTGGTGACCGTTTGTCCAAGCAAAAGTGACATGACAGCTACAACGATATTAGTAATGGCTCAAGATGCATGATGATAAAGGCTTACCGGTTGGACCAATAGAGATGTCTTTGGATGTGGCAAAAAGGCAGTAAACACAAAGACCAACAAATGCAGTGCTATAGGTGACCCAAGATAAATAAAGGATGGTGAGTTTTTGCTTATCTTCTTTATCTCCTTTTGTGTCATGTATACGTACTATAAGCCGTATTGAGGAGGGAGTTCAGCAATCTTGGCATAGCCCATACTCTGAGGCACGACCACGATACCAACAGTGACACCGGCAATCAAATCACTAATCAGCCACTATAAAACAACAACATTAGTATAACCAAAACTCGATACTATGATAACGTTTAAATACTTTACCACTAGGTTATAGCGATGAATCCAATGTAAAATGGGAAACAAGCCGACAATGTAATCTTTGGTGTAGCGAGGTAGGTTTCGCATGAAGTCTTTGGTTTCTTGTTTATAGTCTACATCATCGTAGTCAATGATGATCTCGCTCGGCGCAGCCATAATGATGATAAGAGAGATCAAAAACGCGTATGCGTACGATGAGATTCGGGATGGGGGGAAATGCTTGGATCAATCGAAAAGGTTGATTGCTTTTATACCAGCGTGAAACCGCACTGACCAAATCGGTAAGTCGGGATTAGCGGGAACTGCTGGCGAATTGCGCCATCCTGTCCTGTGATTACACCTTCTCTTTATTCGATAAAGTAAAATAGAAAAAAAACTCTATCATATCATACCCAGTAAAATAAAAAACAAAAGGCGGGGTATGTGTATGTGTGTGTGTGTTTAAACGAGCATACTTGCCATGTGAGCTAACCATCTTCCATTTTGATCCGATTCTTCTTTACTTTCACATCACACCTCCCTATCGAGTAATAAGTTTATGCACCACACACACACACTCACTCACTCACTCGCCCGCTCTTTTACTGATATCGTTTCCTGACGTCAATATCAAGGTTTCCTCGTATTCTTGAAATCGAAAAACATGCACAAGACCTTGGACTCCGCACATCGCATGAGCAAATAGCTGTCAAGTCTCATGGCGACATGACCTTGTTACGCTGTGTAATGTAAAACCTTGAACACACACGCGATTTATCTGTGCCTGTAATCTTTTGAAGCACTGACGCAGCAATAGCACGCATGGAATCCTTGGCTGTATCATCAACTTTTGATTCACGTGGCTGCAAGTCTATTTGGTTGTTGCCAAGCTTGCACATAGGGTATCCCATTTTTCTTTTTACTCTTCTATGGCTATTACCAAAGCCACACCGCTTCATCATGTCAATGAGGAAAATCTCGTCATGGTTATTACAAATAACTCTATTTCCATGGTTGCACACTTCGCATTGTGTGTATTTGACGCAATCGTAAAAAACAATGGAATGTTAAGAGTACCTGGTTTTTCTATCCACGGGTCATGACCCGTTGTTTGTATTTCCTATTTGGGCTCCATCATCAATGTAGTATAAGCTCCCTCGGCATTGATTGTTTGCTGATTGCGAAATAGCTTCCGCCATGGATGCTTGAGTTTATTTGTGGGCCGCTCATTGTCACATTATTGCTGTGTACCCGGATATCTATCTACATTTACTCCTCGATGTTCATTCATGAATCATACAAAGAGATCATGTGTCCTCTCCTTTTTTCATTCAATTGACGTACCATGTATTACTCCCATAAAAGGGGATAATCCTTTCCGAGAATGAGGAATACTACTACGAGACCTAGCGTGGTACCATGTGTCCAAGAAGATGGATCAATAAGAAGGCGGCATCCACTCCATGTGTGTCTCTTTTTCATTATAGTTCACGATCCTAAACATGCCGTGCTGGGTGGTATGATGATACCATTTAGCACGCCGCTTTGTGCATTAGTGGTGCAAACGGCAGCGTGTAACGTATCTTGAAAAGTGTAAATGGACATGGCCTTAAAGGTCTGCTGCTGCATTGTCATTGTTGTATGGTGCAAGCCGCTATAGCTAGTGGTGTTTTTTTTTCTCGTACCACACACGGTGATTGGTGATCCTCACATCTTTTACAATAAACTCGAAACTATAGATCGAGCATCGAAAGATAAAGTCGTTATTGACATGCATATTGCGCAATCGGTGTAACGGCAGCACAACAATCTCCCAACAGACTAACATCGACACATGTACCAAAACAGTGGATGGGGCGCACGTATTGCTTCAATAGGCAGTGATCTGATGGCAACCAATGTGCTGGATATGACCATTTTACGATGATCTGCATAACCTTGATCTACATGACCTTCATTCAACCAATACAGGTACCGGTTTATTTGAATGAAAAACGCAACTGCTATATCACAAGATCATAAAGGGGCATAACACGATGGTAAAAGGGCATAGCAAGATGAGGGGGATAAAAATCCCAGGTAGTGCATAGGGATGGCGACGATAGACGTTGTATGATTTTGTTTGAAGATCGTTGTTGTGGTTGGTGAATGGGAGGAGTAAACCATTCGCCTTTCCGGGTTCTGTAGCATGCCGCCCAATTCATGTTTTTGCCAGCTTTTCTCGATAATCACGAACAAAATCAAAGCCCTTTGTCCTTGGCGTTTCACTTGCTTCTGGCAACATGTCTTCAAATGGAGATGGTGAAGAGGGTGAACAAAAAGCTAGGGTCTGTTGTTGTTTCGGTATCAAAGACATCCTTGCAATGTCGGTGAAGTAGCGTCAACGGCATGTACTTTTTTCACCTACAAAGGGATCACAAATTTCTATCAGACTAGGCATCATTTTAATATATAAATGATAGTATACCTACCACAAAGCTCCATCAAGGAACACAGCCAAATGTCATTAGGCACCAATGAGCACTTCAAGTGGTAAAGCAATGATGTGAGCTACATAAATGAATGCATGGTACCTTCATTTTGGGGACAAAGACCATCCTTGAGACTTACCAAAGGCCATTGATGATGGTATGCATACAAGTACAAAGAAAGGGCGTATGATGGTGTTGGCGCAAATAGCCTTGTTTACATGTGAGTTGGCGTGGGAGTTGTTGTCATGATTAATCGATCTGATAAAGTGGTCAAGCACCTTGGAGTACTGGGTCCAAGTGATGGAAAACCAAAAGCTGATAAATCCGCCTCCCGCTTGAAAGATGATTTTTTGTAGGTGACATAAGTATGTCCCCATTTGCATATAAAAGAAGAGGGGGAGTAGCAGCGTGTGAGGCATTTCTTTCTTTACTTTGTCGAACTCAACACTGTGTCTCGTTTACGTGTTCTCAAGGATTGTATCCAACACCGTAAATCAATCGGCAAGTCTTGTGCGAAGCCATCAAGACGATCTTTCAATTCATTCTTCACTACAAAGAAAACCTACACGTACGCGGAAGAATGAATTGGATGCATTGTCATCTTATGACAAGCCAACAAGACGACTTTCAATTCATCATCCAGTTTAAAAAGAACCTCCGTGGAAAAATGAGTTGGAAGAAACGTCTCCTCGCATCAGCCTACCAAACGCAACGTTGTGAACGACACACCACTGTTGCAGGCATCCGCTCCTTTTATTACCATATTACATCCAAAACTCTACATACGTCCTCTTGATTTCATCCAATAACCCTTCCTATCCTTACGCCATTTATTTTATGACTTTGTATATATCATCTTCATTCCATTCCTTTCATACCTAAATGCATACATCATAATGATTAAACCATACTCTCTTTAGTTTTGAAATGCCAAAGAGCGATAGCATGTATTTATTGATTGTCTATGCATAAATCAGAAGCTGAGGATCCTCGTGTTATTGTTCGCTTGATTAATGAATCTCTCAAAGAAATTGGCACGGAGGGGGGCGTTCATTTGATGTTGCACACCGATCCTCCATCATGCATGGCATGGGTCGTTCTTTCTTTTGGGCGCTGACCACACACCACCCACGCACGCGTCGTCTCACAACTCCGGCTTCTCCAAGCTCTTTTCCAATGACACACCGACTCATCAAGGAAGGATCAACACGCACCGGTTTATTACAAGGCATCGAGTACAATGGCTGGACCATTACAAGTCGAAAGGGGCCCATTTGCAACTCCAATGAAATGGACAAGTAAGTACATTGGAGGGGTGGTATGTCGTTGTGAAGGCTATGTTGTATCTAACCCATAAAGCAGTATCCAAAAGGAATTCGGGATGCCTCCACCAGAAATGGTATTCGGCAACAACCATGTCACTCTCAAGGTCAAAGATATCGAGATCGATTTGAATGCAATGGATGCCCTGCGACAAGTGGATACAAGTGCCAATAGTAGCGAGCATATCAAAGTGGCCTATGCCGATGAATGGACGAGGAAAAGGTAAAGCAAGCAATGACGATGAGATGATGGAAGGGGAACAAGGGCAAAAAGATGAACATGGGGTTGTTTTTTCTTAGCCGTCATCAAGATGTCAAGGATGTAGTCAAGCCATACGATTGGACATATACAACGGCGTATCGTGGCACCTTGAATGACAAAGCCATCTTTCACGAAGCAGAAGAACCATCCATAGATGTGGCACGCTTGCAGAAACAAGAACCGATCTTATTTTACGATGAAAACATCTTGTATGAAGATGAGCTTGCAGATAATGGCACAACGATCTTATCGGTCCGGCTGGTAAGTTGGATGGCTTTTGTGGTATCAAAGGATCAGTGGTTGATTCATATGAATAGCGGGTCATGCCGTCATGTTTCCTGGTACTTCAACGACTCTTTTTACGTGTTGACGATGTCCTCTTTCGTATAAACGACACACGCATCTACCACACGTTTGGCACACCTTATGTGATTCGAGAATATACATCCAAAGAAGATCATTACAAGACCATCATCAATGTAAGTGCTCTCTCTCTCTCTCTCTCTCTCTTTAACAACATGCATCCTTTATATCCATCCATCCGCTAACGCATCTTGAACATTAGAAATTACCCATGACCAAAGGCGATGTACCTCTTGTCAATGATCCCAATTGGGTGTCTTCTAGTCTTCCCCAGAAACCAAATGTTTTTATCCGAGAACATCTTATTATTGAATAATAATAATATCATCCATATACGTATACTTCTACAATCTATCTAATCGTCCCAATCACTCTCATCGCTACTTGTATCCGAATCATCTGATTGAATCGCCTTCTTGCGATCTTGCAAAGCAGCAATCAAACTCATGGTCAAATCATTACCACCACCACTTGCAACTTCAGCAGCTCCAGCTCCAGCAGCAGCTCCAGCAGCGGATGAAGGTGAACTGAAAGGTGTGCTTCGATCATTGCGTAATTCCCTGGGAGTGGATTTGAGGGAAGATACACCACCTGCACCACGAATAGCATCCAATAAAGCAGAACGACCATCACTACTACCACTTGGAGAAGGTTTTTGAGGAGAAGGTGCTGTCATGCTTGGGCTTGATGTTTGAGTTGCTGGTGGTGGTGGAGGTGGTGGTGGTGGTGGAATGCCTCCTGATGATGTTTGAGGTGGCGGTGGAGGCGGTGGAGGTGGTGGAATGCCTCCTGCTGATGTTTGAGGTGGAGGTGGAGGAGGTGGAGGTGGTGGTACACCATCTGCTAAAGAAACTGGTGGTGGAGGTGGTGGAGGTGGTGGTGGTGGAACCGATGTTGAAGGACGTGGAGCACTTGGAACAGGTGGTGGAGCTGTAGAAGGTAATGGTGGAGGTCCTCTTTTATCACGTGATGGTAATGGTGGTGGAGGTGGTGGTACTGGTCGTTTGGTAGATGGCAATGGAGGTACAGGAGGTGGTGGTGCACGTGTTGGTGGAGGTGGTGGAGGTGGAGCTTGAGGCTGATGGTGATGTTCATGTTCATGTTCTTGCTCTTCTTCAGATTCGGATTCCTCTTCATCACTTGATTGAGTAGCAAAAGCTGATTTGTGATAGAATGCATCATCATCATTTGCAGAAGGTTGTTGCTCCTGTTGTTGTTGTTGCTGCTGTTGTGGTGGCATCATATTGAGATATGGATTGTTTGATTTACGTGTCGATTGTGCAACAGGTGGTACCGCTGGTGGAGTAGGTGTAATACGTTCAGGTGATGTTGGCTCTGAAGAAGGAGGTGCAGGCAATGCTGATGTTGGTCGTGCAGGTGTTGGCGGTGTTGCTATGGGGGCCGTTGCTATGGAAGGTGGTGTTGGTGTTGAACGTACAGGAGGTGGAGGTGCTGGTATCGATGCTCGAGATGATACATGACGTGTTGGTGGTGGTGGAGGTGGTGAGCTTGTATTGATGTGAGATACAGGACGTGGAGGTGGTGGAGGAGGTGGTGGAGCTGCACGTCTTGATGGAGGCGGAGGTGGTGGTGGACGACGACCTATGATTATATAATACAAAGTTAAACATAAAAAGTTCCTTTGTTATATAAAAAATGCTTACCACCAACAGGAGGTGGAGGGGGTGCAGCTCTTCGAGAAGGTGGTGGTGGAGGTGGTGGACGTGATTTTCTTGCTGGAGGGGGAGGAGGACCACCTCTTTGATTGACAAAGTCCTTGATAAAGTCCTTGTTTTGATGGATTTCTTCTGCCGAGATACCAAGATCACGTAGCTTGTCGAATAAACCATCCCACTCTGGATCCGTATTTTGTACGCTGAAACCCTTTTCAGGAGTGTATCCAATATGACCTAAATGTCTGTGCATTCCATTGTTTGTCAGCCAATGTTACACACACTCACTCTCACAATAATACACCCCATTCATCCATTCCCTTTACCTAAACTCTGCAGGCAATCCAATCTGTGTCTTGTCAATCTTGCCCTTTTTCCCATTCTCTATATCGAATGATCAATGACAAATCCCTTGTTGGCCCATCCCCACCCTCATACCTTTCTTTTTCTTTGATGGTTTCTTTTTGGTAGGTGCAACTGGTTCTCGGCCCATTACTTTGGTATAAAAGACATTGGCATCGGTTGTATCGGCAAATGAGAGACCCATCATGAATTCCTATATTCATGCACATCCCATTAGTCTCCTTCATCATCGCCATCATCATCATCCCTTGTTATATATGAGTTACGTACATCCCCAGCAAAGGTGAAAAAGAAAGGTGTCGCCATCTCCAATTCGAAACCATCGTACAACTCCTGCTCCCATAGTATATCTCGAGGATGCTACACAAACAACCCATATACGACTCAGTATCGAAACGAGGTGTTCTTTGCCTAGATGACCACCGTACCAGTAGATCCACAATCTTGAAATAAAGAGACTTTTTCTTTTTATCCTTGAGGAAGACAACAGCACCCCAAATGTTTGAATAGGCCCACTTGTTCGGATTCGGATATGCCACGTATAGGCGCGCTACAGTAGCTGCATAGATTTTCTAATGGGGTCCACACATTGAGCTCAAGGTATTCCAATGACAATGTAAAGAAAGCACGTACTGAATTAGGCAAAGCTCGCCTAACTTTGTTCTTGTCTTCGGCTGTCGCAAGTGCTTTCGATGGCATTGAACAGTCGTTGGCGTTGTCGTCAAGAGGTTGAAAGCGGGGGAAAACCACGAGCAGCAATAAAGTACAACTCGGCTATTTGAATCTCCCCCAAGCCTACACTAGGCTCGTCATCACAAATCCGGTTCCCCAGCACATGCCCATTTCTCGGCACACGCTGTCTCCCTTCAAACACCTTATACATGGTTTCAAGGAGCTTCATGTTGTGTGTGTCAAAAAGTCCACTAGAAGCATATACACTCATTGTATCCCTTCATAGATTCTCCCAATTTGCTTGACCCAATACATAGTAAACCTCCTCATCTCTTTTATGCTCAATATCAAGTTTTATGCGTTAGGCGTGAATAACATTATACACAGATAGTAAGGGTCTCTATTCGAGAATAAGATAAAAGTGGTGTAATTGATCATGATAATGCAAACTTGGAAACCATCTCCTCGAGTCTATACGCAAGATGATTTAGTTTTCTCGTGAATTGTTGAGCACACGTATACTTTACCTGTTGGAGCGTGCTTTTGCTTCCGATGCTTCTGCTTTTAATGCAAGTGCCAAATCTTTCCAGTTTGCTTGAAGAGAATCATTGTTCGATTGCATCTGCTGTATCTGCTCCTCAAGTTCTTGTCCTCGTCGTTTGCTTTCTTCGAGCTGTGAACTGGTTTCCTTGAGTTGTTCATTCGCTTGATCCCGTTCCTCTTGTAGTTGGTTGCATTCAGTCTCCTTTTCCTTCAAACATTGGTTGGCTTGATCTCGTTCCTACATAGGGACCATATACATATATAAGCATTCATGCATGCATTCATACATGATCCATTCCAACCAACACTCACCGCTTGTAATTGAGCAATTTCCTGCTTGAGTCGTTCAATGGTAGCATCATGCTCACGAGCGGTATCATTCTCGAGGTATTCAACACGTGCTGACAAGGTCTCATTTGTGCTGCGTAATGATTGACATTGCTTGGCTAGCGATTCGTTATCATCATTGCATTCACGTATATCCTTGTGTAGACGCATAATCATGGCGGCCTGCGCCTCATTTTCTTGTTGGCTCGATTCCAATGCTTGATTCATGGCATCCATACGCTCTTCAGCTCCTGCAAGCTTATCAAGCAACGCTTGTTTGCTTTCCTTGAATTCTTGCTCCATCCCTTGGGTGCGATCAGCATGCTCGGTTTGCTGTTGTGTGATTTGTTGCTGTAATTGCTCGATACGCGTTTGCTGTTCATCCAACTGTGCCTTTTGTTGTGTAATTTTCTGATCTCGTTCACGGATTTGTGTCTCAGTACGATAAGCAGCACCCACGGATCGTAACTTTGCATATAACTTCCACCATGGCCATTCACGTAAGGTCACGTAAATCCTTGCATTACGTTGCATCACTTTGATGGCTTCCGTTTGACGTGCTTTGCGTGTGATACGTTGCCTGGCAACGTATCTTCGACACATGGCTTGGAAATTGGTCATGTAATTGGATACGTAGCGATCTCGAATCTCTTCCAACTCGGCAAGCTATCAAAAATTGATGCGTGTGTGAATCATCATCATCATACTAATACACAAAAAAATGTAATAACGTACCACTGTCGCTTTGAAAAACACCTTGGAGGTACCAAGTCGATATCTTTCGGGATCCACTTGCATTGCTTCCAATAATGCTTGACAAGCTGCACGACCATAAGTGTGACCATCCATCTTCAAATTGGGACAAAGCAACTCGTAGCGTTTACGGAATTCATCAAAGGATAAACGATTGGGGAAACCCTTGCGACAAATGCGGATACCTTCAAGCACACCATTGCAACGTAACTGGTCAAGGACGAGCTTGGGTTGGATTTCTCCACTGCGTTTGCGATTGTTGGGCAACATGCAACGTACAAAATGTGGGTGTGTCTCATCCAATGTCCGCATCAATGATAATAATTGTTGCTTGTGTCGTTGACCCACAGTTTGGAAGGATCCCGTGCCTTTGCGAAGTTTGAGTAAGGTGTCCTTTGTTGGGGTATCCAAGGATGTGGGTGTGCCAGGTATCATTTCATTATCCGTGAGGTATTCATCAAACAAGGAAGCCACATGAGATACAGTGGATCGCGCCAAGAGTCGTGTAATGTCTTCATTGAGCGGGTCTTTGTTCTTATCAATCCATCCATTGGTTGAATATTCAACGTTGCCGGCATAGTGCTTGACAACGAAACCTTCCTTGAATCGCACAGGCTTGTACTTTGTCGATCCATTGCTTTGTTGATCACTGTTACCAGCCCATACTTCATTCAGCTTTTCCAGGAACCGCTTGTCGCTGCCTTTGGGTAATACACATTCTTCCTCCAAACACGATAGAATACCTCGTGGCTGTATCACATACAAATGAGTAACTTGCTTAGGTATATCAATGGTAATGTTTACCTTGGATTTCTCGATAAGATCAATTGTTGGTTGCAAATCCAATCCGAAGTCAATATAGCTCCATTCAATCTTTTGCTTCTTGTATTCTTGTTGCTCGAGTTCAAACATGCTGTGATTAAAGAATTGCTGCAACTTCTCGTTGGTGTAATTGATGCATAATTGTTCAAAGCTGTTGATCTATATCCTTTTGTCAATCCTCTTAATCTCATTCCAAAATATCATTACACATACCTCAAAGATTTCAAATCCTGCAATATCCAAGACACCAATGAACCGAGTCTTTTGTGAGCTCTTGTTTCCATCCAATGCTTGATTAACACGCTCGACCAGGCTGGCAAAATTGCGCTCATACAATGCTTTGGCAATAGCATCCAAACTAGCACACACTTGTGTATAAGACTTGGCTTGTGTCACCCAATCACGACCCGCCTTGATCCTTGGCATCAACAAACTGCTCCTGAACTCATTGGATGGAATTCCCAATAGATCGCACACACGCTCAATAGATTTCAAGTCGCGCACATCGGCTCGATCACCACGAGAGTCTGGAGTCACATTGATATTGCCCAAATGCAAAACGGCCGCCACAATCCGTAAAAAGTTGTGCACCTCGTCTTTGGAAAGACCCATAATCTCAAAGGCATTCTATTCCCCAGATGATGTTAGCATGAAAAGTAGAGCCAAGTCTCCATCCACTTGCCATAAGGTTTTGAAATTCCACAGCATCATCCACTCCTTCAATAGTAAACTTGGATCGTTTGGTAAAGTTGAAATCGGCAGGCTGAGTAAGCCATAGTTGATCTATTATGAAAGCATACCTGTGTGAGTAAATAGTAATCATTTAGCCTTCCATCCCTATGCTACATACCCTTAAGCTCCTGGTCAGCGTTTAGTAGTTGATAAAAGATGTGATAGTTGCGCTCCTTGATCGATTGTTGATGGACACGAGACTTTTCCAAAAGGTACCACTCAATGTTGGCTCCAGAGATTTGTGCGCGTGCGTTGAATTTGATACGGATGAATTTGCCCTACACATACATCCATGGGTTAACCTTTGCTCTCCACTCTCCTTTCCATGTACTTACAAAGCGTGATGAATTGTTGTTACGGATGGTTTGAGCATTGCCAAATGCTTCCAGAATGGGATTGGCTTGAAGGATTTGTTGAGCCAATTGTGTTGCTTGGTTGGATTTGACACTGTTGGCCACAGCAGCCAAATATTGAATCACGATCTTTGTGTTTTCAGTTTTGCCTGCACCCGATTCACCACTAAATGGATAACACGTCAGCATTAATAAGACCAAGTGACGATAAGATAGACTTACGTGATAAGAATGGATTGGTCTTCATGATCTTGTACCATGTCATGGTATGCTTGATCAGCAACAGCATAAATGTGTGGTGATAATTCGCCTCGTCGACGCCCCTTGTAAGATTGAATATACTCTTGAGAATAGATACCAAGTTTGCGGTATGGATTGACAGCCACCAAAAACAAGCCAGAGTAAGTCTAGGGTCGTTCTTGGTTAGCTACACATGCATGAATAAATGATGATGCTACTTGCATAAATTTCCCCCACATGGTATCGCAGCGTAAGGTTGTGAATCACGGATGGTTCATTGAGATGAGTCAACTCGGCCATATCTTCCACACGATCGAACTTTGGTGGGTTCATTGCATACACCTTATCACTAGGTACGAAGCATGACTAGAATCACGACATCAATATAACATCCTTCTCTCATTTTCCTTCTCTCTCTCTCTCTTCCGATATCCAATTTACCATGCCATTCTCCAATTCAACTTCGACCTTGTTGCCATTTTCATTCAAGATGTGTGCTCGGATATAGGCATACTCTTCATCTTGCACCCATACCCATCGTCTTTCACTAAAGCGAGCTTGGTTGACGGCATCCTGCACATGGTCAATTCGATGTGGTACAAAGACTTTTGTGCCATGGCTGTGAATAAAGGAACCGCCCATGGGTGTTTGGCTGTTACGACGTGGTGGTGGTGATGGGGTATGTGTGATCATCATGTAATAGAATACGTAATAAAAGAAGTAGTAGTGGTAGTGGGTGAAAGAAGTGTGAAAGAAAGGGATGTGAACAACGTACAAAGAGAAAGAGGATCGGCTTCTTTTTTGGGAAGGGATGATTTGCCTTTGTTTTTGAAAACAACCTAGAATGGTAATAGTTGCATTCTTTGCTTTATATCAGCCTGATCTGTGTGTATATGCGGAGAATGTCGATGATGTATTTTATTGTCCAAGCTGTGATTGTAACTGATCCACTCGCTCTGCCAAAGATGCTACCAACTGCTCCAATTGTGCTCGTTTCTCACGCTCTTCTTCCAATTGTCGTTCCAAGTCTTTGCGTGTCTTTTCAATCTCATTCTTGGTAAAGTTCTTCATCTTGGTCTCCAATACCTCGTTGCCCCCACTGGATGGCACATTAAAGCGGGATGCAATGTTACGCACGCCTGTGGGTCGTGGTGGTTCTTCACCTCCCTTATCAGTAGACTCATGAGCAGGTGCAGGCTCAAACATACGACGTTGAACAGGCTTGAGATTCTTAAGTTCAGGCGCAGCACCACCAGCAAAAGGTGTCGGAAACTTTGCAAAGATGGGCTTGACTGGTTTGGCAGGTGGGGATGGTGCCTCTTTTTTAGGTTGCTCTTCTTCAACAGCAGGTTCCTACAATACAATCCACAAATCGATTAATGATGATTTCTTCCCATTACGCTACTCCTCTCCCTTACCTCGGCAAGTTGTTGTTGAAGCATTTCCATTTGACTTGGTTCCTCCTTACGAGTCTCTGGTGCACGTCGTGATCTACCAGGGCGAGCACGTGAGGGTGCTGTCAACTTGGGACCAGTGGGTTGCATATCAAATCCTTTCTTTTCTTCTTCCTCATGTTGTTCCTCAGCTTTGGGTGATTCAACTTGCTCTTCAGTCGTCTCAGTTTCTTTCTTTTCTTCCACTGATTCTTCCTTGGGCGATTCAGCTGCTGCTTCTGGTTTCTCTTCTTCAACAGGCTTCTCACCCTCAGGTTTGATTTCCTCCTCAACAGGTTCATCCTTGGGTGTGGTCTCATCTACTACTGCTTCAGGCTTGGGTGACTCTTCCTTTGATGCAGGTGTAGGTGAAGATGCTTCTTCCTTTGGCTTTTCTTGCACAGGCGATGATGGCTTTTCTTCTTCAACCTCTTCAGGAATGGATGGCGATTCTTTTTGCTCTTGTGCAGGGGATGGAGATTGTTGTTGGGCGGTTGAAGAAACATCACTACTCGATGAAGGACGTCGTTCAGGTGCAGCAGGTGTTGTAGTAGTGCTTGATGGTCTTCTAGGAATGGATGGTGGAGCAGCAGCACCAGCAGCAGCGGCATCCGAAGTAATACTTGAAGGACGAGATGGAATAGAGGGTGATGGTGTAGCCTCAACATTGCCACTGGAAGGTCGTTCTGGAATGGATGGTGATGTCACTGAAGAAGGCGAAGTGATGGATGTGGGTCGTTGAGGTACAGGAGGAGATGTTGCCTGCTTTTCTTCCACCTTGGGCTCTTCTTGACTAGTTGATGTAGGCTCATTCTATTAAGCAATATTAGTAGCTATATAAAAAATCATCAATAAATCATTACTCATACCTTTTCAGATTCTTCAGTGGGAGTAGCTGGTGCAGGCTCACTAGTAGGTGGTGGAGGAGATTGTTGGGTGGGAGCAGCAGCAGCAGGGACATCATTCTCTTTATCGTTGGTAGTGGATGGTGTCTCTTCTTCAGGAATGGGTGCAGGTGAATCGGCAGCAGAGGTTGTTTCATGTACAGATTCAGGTCTTCCAGTGGTTGATGCTGTTGAAGGAGGACGAGAAGATTTGTCTGGCAATGGTGGTGCACGGACTGTAGCTCCAATCTTTGATGATGCCGAACTAAATGATTGTTGCGATCCAGCTGATGTAACAGATTTACGAGTACGAACAGGGGGTGGTGATGCCATGGTTTCCTCCTCAATCTCCTTGACAAAGTTGCTTGGGAATACACCGGTATTGCCACGCTCAGTAGTACCCTTCCACCAACCATCATCCACTTCCTTGTCAATGATGTTCACATATTCACCACGCAAAAGGCTGAGCTCGTCATCATTCTCGGCATCATATGGATGAAGCACAATCGCCTTGCCAACTATAAAAGTCCATTATTAGATCCATTTTAATCCTTTTTCTCTATCCGCTCATTCACTTACTGTATTTCTTTTCTGGTTCAGATTGGACCTATTATAAGAAGAAGTATAAGTATATCAAAAGTGCCAAAGATGGGATATGATTGACTTACAGGTTCAGGTACACTAGCCTTCTTTTCAGGCACTGGAGCTGGAGCAGGTGCAGTGGCAGGTGCAGCGGCAGTAGGGCTTGTAGCCTTCCAATAAAGAATTAGCTCACATGCACATGAAAGATCTCTTCATTCACGCATAATCCAATTCTTACCGATTCAGGCACAGGTGGTTTCTTTGCAGCGCCGGTCTTTTTCAATGTAGGAAATCCGCCAGCCAAAAGACTACCAATACCACCTTGCTTGACACCATAGGCAGCGAGCTTGAATGCAGGCTTGTTGGCTATGAACCAAGTTCCTTTAGTCTCCCATAAACCATATATACCCTCTTTTACTTACATTCAGCACCTTCTGCTGCACCACCTTCAGTCTTTGCCATGGGAGCTGCATGAGCACCAAATTCGGGAGCACCAGGCATATCGATTTCTTCAATGTACTGATAGTAAACGCATGAGTCAATATTCTATCATCCTATGCAATAGAAACAAAGAAAAACGTACTTGACCAGGGAAACGACCTGAACGACCATTAAGTTCACCCTTGAACCAACCATCATCGAGACGTTCATACAAAGTGACAATGGCACCACGGGGTAGCGTCAATTCATCGGACTCTTGCATAGCGTAATCCTCCATCACACGTGCCATACCAATAGCCTTGGCTATATAGAGCAAAGAACCATCATTTAGCATCACAACCCTTTATCCATTTCAAACAAACTTACCAGGAGGTGGTGCTTCAGCTTCTTCAGATGCTTCTTTGGGTTCTTGTTGTTCTTCCTCATCCTTTTTGACAGTAGCATCCTCTTTTGCTGCATCGTCCTTTTCAACACTCGTCGACTTTTCATCATCTTGCTTGGGTTCTTCTGGAGTATCTTGCTTGGGGTTCACAAACTATATGCAAGTTGTATAAGAAAGGTTGCCATTCCTCCAAGAAGGTCCTCCCATCACCTACGTTGCTTGGAAAGAAACCACTCGTGCCATCATCCTTTTTGCCAATCCACCAATCGGGGTCAGAGCTGTCGGTAACTTGGATGATGTCTCCAGCGTTGAATTTCAGTTCATCGTCTCGTTGGGGTTCGTAAGCGTGATGCGCAACAACAGTTGTATGTGCTTTTGAATAGTATGAGTTATTGTCACCCTTTAATAAACACAAGGTTGAAGCATTACCGGTCATGAGGAAGGGAGGAGTTGAAATGAGGGAAGTTTAAAAGACGTGGCGAAAAGGAAAGAAGTGTGTAATGAGTTCGTTTAGGAAAAAGAGAGTGGATAGTGCCACTTTTATTGAAGGAGCAAATGCAAATCGACTTCACACGTGTAACATGGTCCTGTGTAACATTGACGAATTTCACACACAACATCTTCATTGCTTCTTCTTATCCAACAATAGTCGTCGTGCATTGGCTACAGAGTATTTTGGCACTGGAGTGTCATTGTTGGTAAATCTCTCTGTGGAACGAGGAGTGATGGCAAATGGGACTGATTCATATACACAATGGACGCTTTCATTCTACGTATTGAGCTATTCTTTAGCATGACATTGCTTCTTCTTGGCAATGGTCTAGTACTCACAGGATGATTCACCATGATCCGATAGTGACCCAAGTAACCTTGCATATCATGATTGTACACGGGGAAAGTCACTCCACCTTTGTTGTCATGTGTATGGATGGCTATGTATCAAATCAACCAATGATTAGAAAGAGATACACGCATTACAACACTGTGACCGATACTTGCTGACATTCTCGCCGATAATCTGCAAATTACGCTGTGTCGCATCCAACAAGCGAATACGGGTGATCAAATCAGGGGGATTCTTCATATTCTTGTCCACTTGCCAGCTGAGAAAACCAATATCACCCCATTTCAGAGGCGTTTCATTATACTTGGATGGATAAGTAATCTTGAAGCCTGTTGTCATCATTGTGATGTTGAACATCTTTTCCTTGACGACAATAAACGAACATACCAACACAGTAAGGAGGATTGATGCGTGGTGGATTGCTTGCATAAGGTAGATCGGGAGCGTTCATAATTTGTTGGGCCCAGCTGATGTTGGTGGCCATGGTAAAGAAAACGACGAGTTGCAATAGCCAAAACATGTTGTTGCTGCTGCTATGAGAGATGCCTTCCACCCAGATGCTCTTCTTTTATAACCTGGAAATCTATATACAGGTACATACAAGATAACCTGTGCATTACCGGTAGAGGTATCGTGCATCATTCAAGAAGCGCAATCCTATGCCAGGTGTAGCTTCATTTTTCTTGATCTATACATGTTGTCCTGTAATAATACCCATATATGGGGGCGTGTTTCACCACCATTAACCTGTCAAAAACATGCAACTATAGAACGTGTGTTACGGTGTACGTGCCAACTAGATGAATGGATGGATGTTAAGGGATTATACATATAATATTGGAGTTGGATGATGATGACATGGATGACATGTATCACAAAGGGCGACAATAGTAGCTGCTATGGGATAGCGTGTAAAATAAGATCAATCCTCCAGGATGACAGCATCATGCAGAATGGTACAACGAATACATAAAAACAAAGACCAATACTTGCAACACTTGCAACATTTCACTGCAACACTTGCAACACTTCTCTGCAACACTTGCAACACTTCACCGCAACACTGCAACGCCTCACCGCAACACTTGCAACACTTCACCGCAACACTTGCAACACTTCACCGCAACACTTGCAACACTTCACCGCAACACTTGCAACACTTCACCGCAACACTTGCAACACTTCACCGCAACACTGACAAAGGGGTAGTTGTTGACGGCTTCCTTATTGAGGATTTGGGCAAGTTAGTGTACGCTGGTTCATTTGTGTAAGTCATGCGTAAGGGCTCTTTCCACACTTTGTATCTATCCATTTCCTTCAATCCCATGTACCAAACCAAATCCATATCCATAACAAGTCGTATGTATTGGAAACAAGTTGCTACAGTAAATAAAGCTGCTTCTATACAATGGCTATCTGCTGTTCACTTTAACAAGGCTGCAAGGCAGAGTGCTGCGATGGGAGAACGCTGTTTGAGGCAATGGAGTGAGCACCTTTGCTAATGGCAACCGCTCGAATGAACGCTGTTACGTTTGATTGTGGTAGAGGGGCGTGCAAGAGAAGGTGAGGTGACAAGAAACGCGGGTGTTGTAGTGGGCTGCACACGCCATGGACTTGCCATTCAGTCAAAGACAATCGGATCAAGGCAGTTGTAGGATTGACATGATGGGTTGAAGCAGGACAATCGTTCGCAGGTGGTAGTTGTATACTTGTATGCACTAACAGTTGAGAATGGGAGGAGAGTGGAAGAAGTTAAGGTGGAAGACCTGGAAATTAAATTGATTTTGCTGATGCTTGGACGACGTTTCTTTTGTTTGAGGGTTGTTCATTCAAAACAACTCGGATCAGGAAAGTTCAATGATGGAAATGCTGGGCAGGAGGAGACAATCGTTCGTATGCATTGGATTGGACAACAAAGGTGAATGGGAGGAATGGGCTATTAGCTGGCAGTTTACGAACGGTGTACAAGCATCATCCTTTGATCGTTCGAGTCATGCAAAACTGCTGTGTTACACGAACACGCCCCTGTGGATCTTTTGCTCTATCAAGGTCTAGTTAATTCACGATGAACAAAGACCACCTTTCATATAGCATCACGCTTACAGCATATGTAAAACATAAAGGTGCCTGTATCTCAAAACTTTACAATCAAACGTGGGGTCTTTAATAGAACAAAGCTGCTCGGCGGGGTGAAAGCGATCTTGTGTCAAACTATGAAGTCGATCGTGGCCGATCCCAGATTCACTCAATGTCGCTACCAGCCAAAAAATATTTTCGTCGTCGTCGAAAAAAATTCAAGAGGTCGATCCAATTTGGCTGGTGGCGGCATTGGGTGAATCTGGGATCGGCCACGATCGACTTTATACTTTGACACAAGATCGCTTTGACCCCGCCGAGCAGCTTTGTTCTCATAAAGGCCCCACGCTTCATTGTAAAGTTTTGAGATATGGACGTCTTTATGTTTTACATATGCTGTAAGCGTGATGCTATATGAAAGGTGGTCTTTGTTCATTGTCATCTAGCTAGAGCTAATACAGCCAAAGATGCAGAGGGACCTCTTTGTGTAACTCAGCTACTTTGCATGATTGGAAGGGACAATGTATAATACTTTATGGATTATCTAGGATAAGGCATGTATTGCCAGCTAACAGGCACTTCCACCCAACACCAACTTTTGTCTACTCCATCATTATGGAACAATGCTCCACCTCCAGACATTCATTTCCGTGATTCAATTATCTTGATCCGAGCTGATTTGGTTGAGCTACGGTCAAAGAGAGATTACATCAATCCATACATCAGCATACATTCGAATGTCTCAGCTGATTAATCCTTGTTCGACCGTAACTCAACCAAATCAGCTCGGATCAAGCTACTTGAATCATGGAAATGAATGTCTGGAGCAAGAGAATCGTTCCCATGCAGTGGATCTCGCAACAATGATGATTGGATAAAAGTGGCTATTAGCTGTCAATGTATGACATGAAAATGAGGGTTGCGTACCTGTCATACATGGTCCCTGAAGTCCAAACTTTTTAACCCAGTTACACAAACACGTCCCTCTGCATCTTTTGCTGGCCAGGGTCCAGCTACTTCACAATGAACAAAGACCACTCTTCATATAGCATCACGCTTATAAACATAAAGGTGCCTGTATCTCCAAAGTTTACAATGAAACGTGGGGTTTTTATTAGAGCAATGGGCTCGGCTTGGCCAACAGCACCTTGGGTGAAAGTTTCACGTTCAATGTCGCAACCAGCCCAAAAAATATTTTTTTGGTCGTCGTCGAAAGAGGTTGAGCCCCGGATCCAGTTTGGCTGGTGGCGACATTGCGAAATCTGGGATTGCCCACGATGAACTTCATATTTTGACACAAGATTCCTTTGACCCCGACGAGCACGTTGATCTATTAAAGAGCCCACGTTTCATTGTAAAGTTTGGAGATATAGGCACCTTTATGTTTGTAAGCGTGATGCTATATGAAGAGTGGTCTTTGTACATTGTGAATTAGCTAGACCTTGACACTGTAGATGGACTTGTTGTGTAGCTCAGCTGGTTGGGTTGAACTGGAAGGGGCAATCCCGTTGTTGGCCAATGCATGATGGTCTCTTTCCCCTGTATGCCTATAGTAAAGTCCGCCTAAGATAGCCCATGTAGAACTTTACGAGCTAACAGTGATAATGGTAATAGGCCAAAAATGATCAATGCATCCGAAAGTTCCTTGTGTGAAAGGATGACAGTAACAATGGCGTTGTTTTTCTTATGATGGATCTATTAAGATAGCGCTTATGATAGTATGCTGAAAATTGTTATAGGTAACGACGTTGGCACATGTGTACCAGTGTCACATTGTGTCAGAGTTCACTCTTCCATGAACGTAATAAACTATATAAGCTTTCCATGAACCAAGCGTATGTATCAAGCAGCATTGTTGGATGACATACGAGTCCTCGGACCTTTATCTCTTCCTTTCAAATTAATGCACTGGACAAATCATACACTCACATTTCAATTGCAATATGAAGTTTATTGGCTCGATACATGTTAATGGCCCTGTACCAGCCAAAACAACAATGGGGGTGGATTAATATGCATACAAAGAGCACAAAGAGCTTGAGTCAAAAGAATGATAAAAGATAACTTGTACAAAGCAACCAAGTTCAACATACGAGAGAACACAAGGCCATTGCGAAAGACGATGGCTCAACAGGCACATGTGATTGGTTGAGATCATAACCTTAAGCCCAAGTGGCCAACTAAGATCATGCATGAATCCAGCAATGAGTCCTTGGAGAACCAGTGTAGAGTAGTATACGGAGACCTTGTAATGATCAACGAAGGGTTACCATTAGCAGCTATCGAAAGGGCATGATGAGACCAATGCTTCTGCTAGTAGCGGCTTTAACAATGAGCCTACTTGCGTTTATTGTGTATTGATTGTATGAAGATTACTCATTATGATGTATGCTCCAACAAGGTATTACATTGATAATGACTACCCATTGGTATTGTGGAAACAAAGAGATAAAGACCATTGTCATTGTATGAAAATGGAGGGTGCTACAACTGAGAGAGCGCGTGTGTGTCTCACCCGAATACTAGAATAATGCCGCCCTGCCAACAAAACCCGCGCGCACCTCTTCTTCCTTCTACACAATGGGCAAGCAGTGGACATCGTTGGTGAGTCCCGTTGGGCGAAACAATCACGAATGCGGTTATTGCCACTCGAACGACGACACTTCGTATACCTATGGCTTGTGGACACATTCGCTTGCTTGTGCTGTAAGTAATGGGCAACAAATTGGCTACCACACTGCAAGATGGGCTAATTTGCTTTCAAGGATTATCAAGCATTTATTGATCGTGGATGGCGAAGGTACATGTGGGATAAAAGGAAGGCCAAACCTTTTGATAGCTAAAGGGATACAACACATAGATCCGGCAAGTACCTCTACAAGCCTGATTTGAACAAGAGTTGCTGTCCGCAATACACCATCAGGTTCATCTTCAACAAGGGGAGGGTCATCATTCGGTTTACTAACATGTTATCAGGTTGGATGCATCCAAGTTCAAGGTGTCCAAATCGCAACGCAAGGTGTTGTCCAAGTTTAATCGTTACATTGAAGGAACATGGGAACCACATGCCGAAGATCATCCAATGAAGGAAAAGTGTGTAGTCAATGACAACAACGATCATGCGTCAAAGAAAGGGGATCATAACCGTGTAATGTAGGAAGCCATCTCATCCCTCCAAAGTGAACCCTGATAGCAACAAATCGTTATCCGAGAATATCCACATCGTCGAAGACAAGGATGGTTTCAAGCATAAGCTCCAGGTATGTGGACCAATGCAAAGGTAAATGGGATCTTGCTGACATTGGATATAGATCGTGCTTGAGCATTCTTCATATACGGATGAGAAGTTCGAGCTCTTCCGAGCCTATCAAGTCCATGTTCACAAGGACGAGTATTCTGAAGTATCATCAAAGTCTTTCAAACGGTTCCTGGTGGATACACCTCTCAAGGTAAATTGATTTGATTTGAACTTTGGGATCAATACCTATACTTACAAAGTGGACCTTTAGCCTGAATCAGCATCAGGGATCGATCGCAGTGTAGCAGGCGCCTATGGCTCTTTTCATCAAAAGTATATCCTTGATGGCAGATTGATTGCGATGGCAGTACTCGACATCCTTCCCAAATGTGTCTCCTCGGTCTATTTTATGTATCATCCCGATTATGGATTTCTCGGCTTGGGCAAGTATAGCGCATTACGAGAGATTGGCCTTGCTCAAGAACTAAGCCAAGCATCAAGCGACTTACATTGGTATTATATGGGTAACTACTGCTACTGTTGTATCATGACCATGGATCATTTTGCTGACAAGGCTTTTTGTTAGGCTACTATATCCATTCATGTCCCAAGATGAACTACAAAGGCAGCTATCAGCCGTCCGATCTATTGGATCCCGAGACCTACAAATGGTACCCAATTGATGACTGCAAGAAATGGCTCGACAAGAACAAGTTTGTTTGCTTTTCTAAACCTGAAGGTGGAGGATATCAATATGACGATGATCGGATACCAGGTACACTTGACATCAGCCAGGTGACGCCCATGGATGCGACCAAGGTGCGCGTCAAGATCAGCGATGATGAGGCGGTTCCCGTTACTGCATTGGTGGGATGGTACAGCTCAGAAGACTTTCAAGCCCTCATTCTCGAGTACATTGCCGTTGTAGGCAAAGAGCTGATTCCACGATTGGTGGTCACTTGAACTAGTAGCATACAGGTTTTACATAGCGTTTGGTTTCGAATATAAAGATTGGGTATATCGCATATACATGATTCGGGTTTTCTCAATGATGGCTATCATTTCTGTTATACAATTTACATTGCTCCTTGCAACAACAATCATTGTGTGGGCTCAACAAGCAAAAGTAAGGGACTCGGATTTACCTTATGCAATCAATGATTTACGTCTCAAGCCGGACTTTTGTGCTGGTAAATACGTTGCATTGTTGTCACTCCACGTGCATCATCCACTTATCTACGTATGCACATTATTAGGCTTTCGCATTACTTACCCTGCCAAGCATGGTGAAAAATTGATATGGGGCGAGATGGGATACCTGAGTTGGGAGGTCGATACAGAGATGGAAAAGTCACCTGATTTAATTACACGCATCCGTTTGGTCGACGATATTGGAAGAAACACTCAACTCATCGGCGAGAATATCAGTAAGTATGATGCAGCACATGGAGGGATGTCGTGGTGCTCATAAAATGCCCTGTAATAGCTATTCGCACGCATGACAACAAAGGTGCTCTTGTCTTTCCGGTTAATGTGCATTACGTGCAAGGTCTCCAAAATTACCGTATTGCTGTTCAACATCCTGTAAGTCATTAATGGGATCTTTTGATACTGTATACGCTGATCAGCAATATGCAATAGGGTGAAGCTATTCATTGTGTTTACGAGTCTGTGCCACTCAATGTCGTACCGCGTGGATATGAGCGCTACACCAATCATGACTCGGCAATACCAGCATTTGCAGTACCCAATGCACGCAGGATCATGGCGGCATGAATTATGCATACCTCGTGTTACAACACAGCCATATCGGTCACACCTACATAGTTGCTTCTCATCACCTTATATAAAACGACACTTGAGTGCCATGTTTAGACGTATTGGATGTGGATTACGCTTTCAATCTTTGTCGAGGTGGGAAGGTAGACAATGCATACTTGTGAATGTGGTTTGGCAATCCAGCAGCCAATGATCGAAAAACTACCCAAGCTCGTCATTGATGTGAAAATCAAAAGTTGATCTTTTTTGCTCATTCATTGCTTCATTGTATTGGGTTCTTATGACAAGGGAAGAAAAAACAATAACCATCTCTTGATAAGCATTAGCTTGATCTCACATTCGTATCGACGCAGCTATATAGCCTCTTCATCCCACACCCAACTTTTTCCATTCCAAAGCATGTGAACGATGCTCCTGCTTCAGCCCATCATTTCCACACTTCAACTTCCTTGATCCGAGCCGATTTGACTGAGCTACGGTGGAGCAGCAAACATGAAAATTAATGAATCGCAGGGTCTGCGAATGTCTCCGTCTTTCAAACTTTTGGAAGCTCCCATTCCAAATTTTCTAATGAAACGTGAGGTCTTTATTACGAAGAAGTTGATAAGCATGCTCGAGAGCATCATGCTGACCAATTTTCAAGTTGGAGGTGAGCAACTTCGGGGCGGTGGGCCGTCCGCTCTTTTGTTCGTGTCATCCACCTTTTGGATCACCCCGCATTTTAAATCTTCACAATGAAGTCTGCGACTTTTAAATGAATGAAGTTGATCAGCATGATGCAGAGAACCTTCTGACAAAGTTTCATGTTCGAGATGGGGAATCCCAAGGTAATACATACTATTTCCATAGATCATGAATCCTGCGCTGACATGCTTTCCGATCTCCATAGTAAATCCCACATTGTACCCTCCCATTCGATATTTTTAAATGAACATGAGGTCTTTTTTAGAACAATATTGATCAGCATATCCAAGATCATCTTGTGTGAAAGTTTCAGGTTCGAAAGGGACAATCTCAATATCAAGGATTGATGCACAGTGTTCATGCATTTATACAAGAGGTGTCCGACCGATTTAGTTTCCACTTCTTCCACTCTCCTCCCATTCTCAACTGTTGGCCCATTCAAGTATACAACTACCACCTGCGAACGATTGCCCTGCTTCAACCCATCATGTCAATCCTACAATTGCCTTGATCCGATTGTCGTTGACTGAATGGCAAGTCCATGGGCGTGTACACAGCCTGCTTGCTACTACTACAACACACGAGCCTCTCGACACTACGCACTCCTCTGCCACGACCATTCGCAACAGCAACTGCCATTGGCATCGTCTTCATTCCATTGTGTCATAAAGCATTCTCTATATGCAACAGCTTGCCTTACAGCCTTTCCACGTGAACAGCATATAGCCACCTTATAGCAGCAGCTTTATTTACGTGTAGCAACTTGTTTCAATACGTACGACTTTTTATGGATATGGATATGGATATGGATACTGCTTTGGTATATGGGATGGAAGGATTCGGCTATGCTGAACGGATTGGTTGCCTTGCCCACGTTGAGCCATCAAGCAATACAAGCAATCTTGACCAACGAAGTGATGGATCAACAGCCCGATGGAAAAGGAATGAATGGATGCAATCAAGTGCAGTGATGAGAAACGGTGGACCGTTGCTATTTGGTACGTCGTCATAAGGAAGGATGGATCATGCCACGTGGATACGGCTGAGGGTGATGGTGATTTGGATGGCATTGATGAGAGGGCTTTTATCTTTGAAAAGGCGTTTTGCAGCCATGGATGGTATTGGGTTACTCAAGTCAAAGCAAGGAGCGATCATGGATGAAGATGGTTATGGCGGCAGCAATGAAGGATACTATGATACAACGACACCTTTTTACTCTATGTAGTTCACCCGTACCTTATTTTCAACTTGCATTAGTCATATTCACTTGATAAACAACCGCACTACCATATTCTATGCTTCCACTTTTATTGAATGAACACTGAATTCAACCTAATTGTTGTAGTATCGTACTATTAACTCACATGCGCAAGATGTAGATCATGTGGTTGGTTTCTGGATTGATGATGATAAGGATGAAGTTGGATTGAAAGGGGAATAAGAATTTGAAAGGAATGAACCATTTACATGACCCTATCGAGGTGCCTTTGTCCTTTTACCGCATTTACAAAGCTTCCTTGTTCGTATGCTACAAATGTTATAGACAGTGGTGACGATTCATTCTTGCACTCATGTTGTATGAACGTAAGGTGCATGGCTATAAATGATACACCCTAAGCAAGTACTTCGTTGTATCAACGGCTATGTACAGGTATTGGATATCACTTTGTTGAGACATTCAGCATGAGTGATTATTGTTGTATACGTGGTTGAATTGGCAACGGGTGATAAAAGTAAACAATAATGCTTGCAGCAGCGACAGCAACGGGTAGACTATTATCGATTTTGATATCCAATCGTAAGTGTGATTGAGATAGGGTATTGCGAGTAAAGTTCCAGAAACACGGAAGGGCAAGGAACACGCGGCACATTGCATAAGCCGCTGACGGAGTACAGGTTTTAGATATGTCTCAGGGAGAAACATAGGGTCGACGCTCACCCTTTTTGTTTCATAAAGAAGGGCTCATGGTCATTGATGTGCAGCATGTACGTTGTTCTCGAGATAGGAATGTTTTTGGATCAAATGGGATGTCATGGTAATGTATGAATGGTCATGTGTGAACATATACAGGATGCTTGATAGCTTTGGGATGCGAAATATACTCGTTGCATTGAACGGGGTCGAAAAAGGATGTGCCGCGTTTTCGAATATTTTTTCCAGTTGGGGGACTTGACATTTTCGTGGCAACATTAATTACCCAGCAGGGAGATGTTGTGCCTGGGAGTATAGTAGAAAAGCACCGGGTGTGTGTGTGTGATTTGATAGGAAATGACGCTTATCAATGACAACTCTTTTCACATTGCATCACACAAGCAACTGCATGAATGGAAGAAAAAGTTGGCTTTACACGAACCAATAATCGCTATTGTAGTAACATGCCATGTGTATTCATTGGCTTACACAAGCGAGAGGGGAATGTTCAAATTAACCAGGAATAGTGTGTGCATGTGCGTGTGTGTGTGTGTGTTTGTGTGCAGTTGAAAAGGTGACATGTGAAGGGAATGGAAAAGGATGCATATCATTGACACACCCGATAATGGTTTATTTGCTCTTTTCTGATCTTTACTTTTTGCATCCATCCATGAAATGAATGATGATGACGACATGGATAGAATTGAAATCAAGGAGAGAAGAAACGGGGGGTGATGGTTCATCTGATGATGATGATGGGTATGTACGTATGTCTGTATGTATGTGGCTATTGTGATGACGGTGGGATGAAAGTAGTACGATGTTCACAATAGACGGGCCGAAACACCAAATGGGTGGTGGCTGCGAATATCCCCGCATACACGCATGTGGAGTGTGAGGATGTGATGCTGAGAGAGGGAGGGACGAGGAGCAATAAGGGAATTGATAAGCTTTTTATGTGTATTTGGGGGGAGCTGTCATCAAGAGATGGCATTGGCTGAATCAAAACTTGTATGACTGGATTTTCGGAACGTGCAGTTGACCTTAGTCCCCCCCCTCCTCTCTGCTCCTCCTTCTCCCGATAGGTAAAGTACGCGGATCCTCCCGCACCACCCGCTTTGTTCTTCATTTCTTTCACTTTTTGTTTTCATGTCTCTCATGATGCATCCTCAGGTCGCTGATGCTGTCTCTGACTCGTCACCAGCGGTTGTGTCCTTCACAAAACCCCTCTTATCACCTCCGTTGCGCTCCAACTCTACGACAACTACAAGCTGTAGCAATAGCAGCAATACAAGCACCAACTCAACATCATCATCATCCACTTCTTCTACCAACAAGTTGATTTTGGATTATTTATTGTATCTTTCCATTCAATCACGTCTCAAACAAGCTGAAGTCGAGCTCGCTGATGATAACACTGAAGCAACCGAGAAACGTTGGATCGAAGCCGCATCACGAGCCGAAAAAGATAAGCGTGCTGTAGAATCGGTCGTAGCTGGTAAGTAACACACTCATCCACATCCACATACATACAAAGTGAATGAGAGAGATAACAAGATCGATGGGGGAATATGGATGACATGAAAAAGTATTCTAATCTCTTTCTGCTTTTGGATAATGTCAGGTGTACTTTCTGGTGGTAATGCTCCCTTCAATGACCTTGATCAACGACTTCATCTTTGCCAGTTGGCCAATCTTGTCTTTGGACGATTCAACAATACGTCTTCATCTTCTTCCGAGCATGTGATTACACAACACAACACTAGCACAAGCACTCACCGACGTGTACGACGCAACAATAATCATGCACAAGAGCAGATCAACACTGGTGTCTTTTCAAATACAATTCAATCAGCCTTTTGCAGACGCCACCGTCGCCAAGATTGCCCCTCACAACAATGCAAGTCAACGTGTGCATCTTCAGCACCAGGTCTTACAGATGCTATCCCCGTTTTCCTCAAGGCCAGTGCTGATTTATTGAGACTCACTCTTGATAACACAAGCGAGGATGCAGTGCCTATGGTTTTTGCTGGTCAACGTGTGATGGGTGGTGGTATGCCTCCACGTTGGTATGATCTCTTTTTGGAGTTATTGACACAAGCTGCCATCGAGAGCTACATGTGCGACGGCCAATCAGGATTGGAGCCTATCCACGAGATCTTTTCATTTGGTGATGTAGAAGATGAAGATGAGCCTGATCAAGAAGATGAGGAAGATGAGGATGAGGAAGATGAAGATGAAGAAGAAGAGGCTGCTGAGGAAGATGAAGATGATGAGGATGAGGAAGATGAATGGGGTGTGAGTGCAGCAGATCACCATTTGTTGTTCCCAAAGACTCGTACCATGTTCCTTTTCAAGACGCAACGACGCGAACGTGAAAAAGAGGTAAGGATGGGGAATGATGGAAAGGTGAAAGTGAACAATCCACTCATAAGAGAAATGATAGTTTTTGATGGTTGAAGGAGATGATGATTTGACACAGCACTTTATCAAGTTGGCACAACGTTATCCATTGGAAGCATTTGAAAAGAGCATGAATGAATTTATCCAAATGACCCTCAGTTCCACTGAGAAGCCCGCTCTGAGTGAGGTAGGACAGGGAGTGAAAGAGAAAATACCAAAGTGACAGTGAGGCTTATGCATGAACAATTTTTTTTCGTTGTCATTGTTTTTGTTTTATAGCAAGGAACCACATCAACTGAAGCCAATGCGTTACCACAAATCTACAAATACTTGGGCGACGGGTCGCTCTTGATGCCAGAGATTCCTGAGGAAGATGGCAACAGTAGCACAGCAACTACCGATACAAATGCAATGGAGCAACAACAACATGGGCAAAAGCGACGAGCGTCCCTGGATGAAGAACAAGATCTACCCGACCCTAAACGATCCCGATAATCCCCACCAGCCAACCATGTCACCCCTTTCCTCCCCTTTTCCCACCTAACAAACACACCCACCCACCCACTCACACACCCCCCACTTTGGTTTCCTATCCAACTCACCATCACACCAGCAGCACCACATGTATATTTCTTGCCGGGTTCACTTAATCCTTCTTCCACTTTTTTCAAGTGCGAATATTCCCTCTCATGTATCTTTCTTCTTCATGTATTGTTCCCTTCACACGTTGATCTTCTTTTTAACATAGCACCACACGTTTATACATATATATACACACGCACATGAATGTTAGTAATGATTGAGTGGTTTATGTAAGCAAATGAACCATTTGCCAGAACGATTTGCCGTTCCCCGATCCATAAAAGTAGATCGTATAACAATAATATAAAGCATTTGTCCACCCCACCCCCCACAAATGGTTTTGTTTGTTGTATGTCATGATGGAGGAGGAAATGTAGGTGCCACGTGCGGAATCATATATAGATAATCTACAACGAGTCAAATTGCATATCGCGTCCCTCCGAACCCGAGGTTTTAAGATACGGTTTAGCTCCCCCACTCGGGATGAATCCCTATCTCTTTCCCACATCCACCAATTGTCATTGGCTGTTCATTGTTGCCTGCTTAGAAATACATCGAGTCCGATCCCCATTGTCCCCTTTTGTTTTTCCCACACCCCGCACACACTCTCCTTCTCTTTTTTAGCCATGTTGTTGGTTTGAAGCAGCACACCTCTTTCTTATTTTCTTTTTTGTCATTCACTATGACTGATAGTGGGAATCGTGGTGTTGGTGGTACTAGTAGCTGTGCCATGTTGGATATGTTTGGACCTTGGTTCTTCCTGCTGCCGGATTTGCCAAGTACGACGAATCAGCCGACCCAGGCTTTTGTACATGACCCATGTGGCCAACACCGACGCCACTGATCTTAGAAAGGCTGCTGCTGCCCATACAATTGAAAATTCGGCGACCATAAAAGGTCTGATGGCTGATAAGGGTTGCTTGGTGGAAAAGAAATACGATTGAATGGATTGGCTCACACCAGCAAACATGTTGCCTACAACATCATCGTGATCGTGTTCCTCGTCATCGCTGTCGATGAATGCATATAATGAATGGGATGTTGATAATGGTGATGGTGATGGTGTGGGAATAGGTGGTGGTGAATATTGAATAACATTGGGATCGAATCGTACAGAGCCTTGTCGTTGTCGTTGTCGTTGTCGTCGTTTCTTTTTCTGCGTAAACAATGATAATGGTTTATCGTCATGTTCTTCTACAGCATACATGGGACCATAGAGCCCTTTAAATGGATTGAGTTTTCTTTTTGCGCCGTGACACAATGGACCAACAAAGCTTACATGTAATGTCAGATTCCTTTTGCCTGTTTTAAAACAAGGATGAGCCCTCTTGTATGCGATAACTAATCATCATCCTACATACCAATCAACAACAGCAGGATCCACCATAGGATTATGTTTGCCAAGGTGATCGGTCAAAGTTCGACCCATTTGTCGCCATAGCGCGTTTTCAAAGCGAGCAAGTCGATACTTGTCACTTTGGTTGCTATGGTTGTTGTTGCTGTCGTCGTTGTCGTCTTTGTGCTTGCTGTGTGCTTTGCGTACCTGACGTCGTATTTCACGGTGTGTGTTGATAAGATCATTTGCGTGCCATTCGTGCGAGAGATAATCAACACAGATACGAGCGCTCATTCTCTTTGATTATGGACAAAGAAGAAAGAGAAAAAGACTGCACGACAATGAACAAACAAGTAAAAAAGACATCAAAAAAAGGAAGTGAAAGAAAAAAAACCTCCTGACTTGTACTCGTTCTCGCGCCCAATTTCGAAACGAACGACGCTTTATGTTTCAGGCTTGTGTACACTCTACCTGTCTCTTTTATAACGTCTCCTCGTGCAAAATCTACATGATGGCATCTTTTTATTCTATTGTTGCTACTACTATTACTATTGATCGCTACTGGTAGTAGTTCTTAGTTATTAAATGCCATGCAATGGGTTGTTTTTCCTTATAAAAATGATAGTAACATGATGCAGAAGATAATATTTCCCCAATGTGTGAAGGTTGTCGCATGATGGGATATTGGGCATGAATATCACGCATACATGCACATACGCACGCACGCAGAATCGGAGACAATTTGCTGTTGCGCCAAACAATCTTACACAACACAACACAACACACAAGGCATGCATGCATTAATGGGTTACTTTATCAGGTGGGGCGTGTGGGTACACAATTTTGCTCGATAAGTTGGGACAATAAGCATGTACAATGATTGGTTGTTTTATCTCATTATGAATGGAAAGTGTGTATGGCTCAATGTCATAGCTGATAGGAAGAGAGATCTAATCTGCCAAGCTGGGATTTCTTAAAGCGGGCTCCGGTTTCCACAGCCGTCAGTTGCTTGTATTACTCGTTCTCTTTCATATACCACTCCACCACCACTACCATGGCCTTCTCTTCAGCACTCGTCTTGACCGATCTAAACGACTACATTGCACCTTCTCAAGCTTGCATTAAACCCGTCGAAGTCCACAAGTCGGAAAACGCTGGACCCGTAAGTACGCCAATGGGCTTGCTTTAAGGTGTGTGTGCGTCCATGACTAAGCAATTGCTCTTGTATAGTCCGAGATCAAGGTTGATCAGCAAGGCGATTACTATGAAATCTCCAAGGACGGTGGGGAATCCAAGTTGGAAAAGGCATCGATCACCTTGAACGATTGCTTAGCTTGCAGGTAAAGGGAAAAAAAGAGCCAATGGGTGTTGGATAAGCATGTATACTGATAACGATGGATGATAGTGGATGTGTCACATCAGCTGAAAGCGTTCTTATCACTATGCAATCCCAAGAAGAGTTATACGAGATCTTGAACACCAATCGATCCGATCCTAGCAAGCATCGCACTGTTGTTGTATCCATTAGCCCTCAATCACGTGCATCGCTTGGTGCAAAGTACAACCTGTCACCCATTCAAGTGCATCGACGATTGATTTCTTTCTTCAAACATCATTTGGGTGCCCATCATGTGTTTGACACATCCTTCTCCCGTGATCTATCACTTGTCGAATCAGCTCGTGAATTCGTGGAACGATATCGTTTATACATGGCCAATGGTGGTGATAAGATTGAGGAAGCGTTACAGCAACAAGATCAACAACAAGAGGAAGCTGGTGGTGATCGTCGTTCCAGGAGGAGACGTGGTGCTGGTGCTGCAGCAGGAGCAACAGGTGCACAACAACAACAGCATTTGCCCATGTTGGCATCGGCATGTCCTGGATGGGTGTGCTACGCTGAAAAGACACATGGTGCTGTGATTCCCCATATCGCCACGGCAAAGTCACCACAACAAATGATGGGATCGCTTGTCAAGGATTATCTTGCAAAGAAAACAAATACACCGTAAGTGTGGGGAGGAGGGAGAAGAAATGAATCAAAGAATTGCGTGGACTCATCGTATCATATTATCAGACCCAATGCCATCTATCATGTTGCTGTGATGCCATGCTATGACAAGAAACTGGAAGCGAGTCGACCCGATTTCTTTTTGGAGGAATTCGATACTCGAGAAGTGGATTGTGTCTTGACTACGGGAGAAATCGAAAAGATGTTTCAAGAACAAAGCATTGATTTTACTCAAGTGCCTGAAGCTCAAGTGGATGACATGTAAGTTTGGTACAATCCTCCTAAATGAGGCATGGTTTATTCATATCCTTGCTTCATTAGGTTCAACAAGACGGCGCTTGATCCAACGACACAAATCACGGCATCTTATGGCACTGCTGGATCATCATCAGGTGGCTATTTGGAGTATATCATGGCAACGGCTGCACGAGAACTTTTTGGGATTCAAGATGTCCCTGCCGATCCTGCACAAACACCCAATGCGCGCGTGATTGTCAAGGCTGGCAAGAATGCGGATGTGCGTGAATACTTTTTACAAGGTGATGATGGGCGGATATTGCTTCGTTTTGCCACTGCCTTTGGTTTCCGTAACATCCAAAACATTGTGCGCAAGGTCAAGAGCGGCAAGTGTCAATACCATTACGTGGAAGTCATGGCTTGTCCTGGTGGATGTGCCAACGGAGGTGGTCAATTGCCCAACCCAAATGATGAGCAAGTCATGTCGGCTAAGGAATGGTTGAACCGAGTGGAAAGTGTATACCAGACGGTGCCAGGTGTAGCTCCCGAAGAAAACGAGGTGCTAAAGACCATTTACAATGAATGGATCGGTGATCCCAATTCTGATCAAGCAAAGCGATTGTTGCGCACTCAGTACCATGCCGTAACGGAAAACTTGGCTAATCCTTTGGCTACCAAGTGGTAAATCGATATATCCCTTCTCCAACGCATCCTCCTATTTCTACTATCCTCCTCCTCCTCCTGTATACTGTTCCCTTTGCTTCTTCTTCTTCTTCTTCCTCTGTAGATGATACTGTAAATGATATCAACCTCTGTTCTTAATACACATTTGATTTATGCACGCTCACTCACTCATGTTCTATTCTTGTGATAAAACTACATCATGGTGACACCAAAATTATTCTCTTGCATCAACTATCACTTTTTTAAGTCACCGCGCCTCTAGTAGACTATACTGATTATGGTGCCATTGCACACAAGGCTATCATGCGCATTGTGTGTGTGCTCAAGCCACAACAAAAATGAATCGCCACTGTTATGATGGATGGTCCATAAATAGTCCCAATTGCATTCACATGATGACAACATCAAACGGTAATGGTTGTAGTAGCAGCGTTCTTTATGAGCATAATGTACAAATTCTATCATTGCATATAAGCTTGTTGGGTAATAATTGGAGCATGGTGATGGTTATTGGCATGATTGAAAAGTGACAAAGGAAAAGCATATGTGTGATGTCTTGAGGCCTATACAATAATCATTGTTGTTGTTGTCGTGATGATAATTGCTGTTGTAATGTGGAAATGATGGTCGCTTGTTTCTCCACCAGCTCCATCAATCGTTGTATGCGGACCTTGTATTCTTCTTGTGTCTGTTTTGACTCATACAACTGCTGCTGCAGATCTTGAATTATATCTTGCTGTGGGTCTTGCTGCTGTGGTGGTGGTGGTGGTACTGATACTGGTGCTGATGGTATTGGTTGTTCCTACATGTACGACACACAACATTCAACATGATGAATGATGGATTGGATTGAGATTTGACATCGTACCTGCTTGCAGCTGTATTGTTCTATCATGGGCTCTCCTTTGATGTCCATTACGTTCATGGATGTAGAAGTAGTATTCATCATTGCTTGCTGTATATATAAGTTGTCCATGATGAAAAGAATAAAAAACGCGGAAAAGAAGAGAAGAAATAAGAGAGGCAATTCGACAAGTGAAATCATGCCTATTTGTACACCGCAGCAATCGTTGATAAGCAAAGCCAATATACTGCTCCGTGGATTGATCCACAAAAAGTGATGCAGAAGACATGGCAGTGTGGCGCTCAAGGTGACACATGAGCGTCATGGAAGTCGTGCCGATTGCAACACTCGGCGTTATGGCATCATCCACCACCACCTTATGGACGATCTTTTACATACGTTCTTGTATATGGTGAAGGGACCACAAGTCAATTAGTTGTAAATGGTATACCTATATAATTGATACCTATTTGATTTTGAAGCGTGTCGACATAGAATGATGACGAGATGCATTCACCATCGTCAAGTAGGGGCCTGTCATCAACGAACTGGAGGAGAGAGAGGAGAGCTGCCTGTGTAACTACCGCATTTATCTCAGCTATTGAAAGATCCATTTTTAACAGCAAATCGTGGCTGATTGTGTAGCAAGCAGAATAATGCCGAGCGTCCCACATCTTGGTGAGACGTACATGCTGCCTAACATTCGTTCATCCAATCATCTTCTCTAGCAATGATGATTGTATAAAGCATTTCAGAGAGGTGACCATATACTTATGGTGGTCATGATATGGCTGGCATTCATTACGTATAGCGAAAAAAGGGGCCTACGTATGATTGCTTCATGCCTGCACGTGCCATACATTACAATACGGCATGTCTGCATTGGCCTGTATTCAACAAAAAGTGGATTCACAGCGCTGCAAAGGAGCATTGGTGCCTGAAGAGAACGATTGTTATTGTCGGTGGATGTTTTTGTTACACAAACAGGTGTCATTTCTCAGTTGGGAAATAAAGGGCGCATATCAGGCTGAGGACTTGCTGGTGTTACGACGGGCTTTTTTGTCCAGGGCAATTTGGATCTTCAAATGCTCGTTATGAGGAATAAATTGGTTTCAGATGGTGCCTTTTTCTATTGGTGGCCTGATCCATTTGGGGAAAAAAGTGTACGTTTGTATACTGCAAGGTCTTGGATAATGTTGCTTGTACACACATATCAAATGCATAAAAAAAGAGCGAGGTGATTTTCAAACCTTTTCTGTTCCATGTCTCCATGCAACGGAGTTGGCTACAAAGTAGTAAAGTTGGCTTGAATCAAGTAACCTATCACTGTGCATAGCAGCAGCAAAAGCCAACCCGGAGTTATACTTGATTCATTATGAGTAGCCAAATGCAATGCAAGAAGCAGCAGCAGCAGCAGCAGCAGCAGCAAAAGCAGTGGTATGATGATATGCATTTGTCTTGATTGTATCATTCTTTTTACGCCTCTTCATAATACATGGGGACGTGCATGTAATGAATGGTATGGGTCAATGTGTGTGTGTGAATGTGAGAGAGGGCGTTATTCAACGTGGTAACAAGGCTAAACTGTAAAAAGCTACATGTTGTTGTGGGTCCCTGGTGAACCAGCAGCAAACAAAATCACCCAGTTGCCTAGTATTTTTTCCTCTCCTTTTTTTCACTTCCGTTGGATCACACACACTCACACTCACATTCACACTCTCTCGCATATCCTCTTTTTCTCTCTCTGCTTATTCTTTTGTTCTTGCGAGCATCAACCCCTTCTTTCTTTATTATTCAATATCCACATATCGTATATCATGTTCAGATCAAGGAAACACACACCAAACACCGATCCCAAACGACGTTTCAGTCTTCTGCCACGGTCTTTTAGCGGCTTCTTACGTTCGAAAAAGAGCATGGAGTCACCAGCACCTACATTACCACCAGCATTTATTACAGACGACAGCTCCATTACCGATTCGAGTCGATCAGTACCCGCTTCACCTCTTAGTGCACATACAGCAGCTACGTTAACGTCTTCTATTGCTGCTGAATCTGGGTGTTACTTTGGTCCTCCACCACCTCCTCCGACTGATTCTATACAACCACCTTCATTCAATTTTGGAGGATGCGGTGGTGGTAGTAGCCATAGCAACAATCAACATTATCGATCTTTGCAACGAAGACAAGGTGTTGGTGGTGACACTTTATCAATGCCAAATATTCATGCAGCAGCCGATTCGACTGATCAATACTTGCAGCTTGGGATGCAATGTCATGAAAGGGGCGAGTTAGAAAAAGCAACCTATTACTGGCGTTTATCGGCTGAGAATGACTCGCCCCTCGGATTGTTCTTTTATGGAATAGCTTTGCGACACGGATGGGTAAGTAACATCATCATCATCATCATCATCCGACACCCCATATCTCACATTGCTCCATGTATATAAAAAGGGATGTAAAAAGAACCCCGCTATTGCAGTACGCTATTTACAAAAAGCAGCTGAATGTGCCGTTTATGACCTACAAACCGGTATCGTCAAGTCTACCACCATTGCCAAGTCTGAATTGATTCTTGCCATCTACGAGCTCGGTGTCTGTTTCCGGCATGGATGGGGTGTAAGTATTATTATTAGTAGTGTCATACCTTGGTTGCATGAATATGGGTTCTCATACAGCATCACACATGATGATGATGATAGGTCCCCAAAAACCTTACTACAGCATCCTATTATTTTCACATTGCTGCTAATCTCGGTGATCCAGACGCACAGAATGATTTAGCCTTTTGCTATGCTCACGGCCATGGTGTCAAGAAGGATCCCTACAAGGCAGCCATGTATTATCGCAAAGCTGAACGCCAAGGTCATGGTATCGTAGGCAATTCTTGGATATGGAAGGACAAGTATAGTATCGTGGATGATGAAAATTGGGATGGATTAAGCCATCATCATCAACATCATTAGCAGCACACGTTTTTCTCTTTAGTATCTTCTTGCCTCCTTTATTAACAACCTGTAAATATCCTCCCCCATCCCACATTTGCATGATCACCGAAACAGCAGTTACCCTCTCTCTCTCTAATAATTTGTAATCACTCACCCTCATCATCATCATCATCATCATCATCCGTATGCTGTACCATCATCATCCCTGCCCATATAGCATCTGTTTTCATCACACACACATAGTCGTTTTCTAATAATAATTGCCTTGTTGTGGTATGTTAAATGACCATAAACACTTTTATGTTTTATTTCATTATCACGATGCAATCAAGGGAGAGGGAGTACGAGTAATCACAAATACGGATGAAACCACGTTCCCTTGGATACACCGGCGTTGCATGGATTTGCCTTTGATTTTCTTTGTTGCTGGACAACGCCACGACTCGGGGGACCATAGCATCTCTTTCTCTTTTACATCCATACATCATCCCATTCACGGCATCCATCAAGGTATCTATTGAAGCTTGTTGGTTGTCATAATAGTACAGTGCTGAATATCCATACGTAGGCAGGGAGTGTGTGTGTGGTACCTTTTTAAGCTGAATCGCCGCTTCTTTCTTTGTTATGCCGCCCCTCTGCACCTCGTACAACAGGTACACTCAAAGCTGATGCTACAGTAACTGCTCCCATTGACATTGAATGCTGTCTCATTTAGCTTACGTTGACTTCAAGACATGCATGTGTACGCACATTGGCTCATTGAGCCCTGCCTCGCCTTGACTCGACCGACAACGGCTTTCTCTTGCTCAAGTGCACAATCAACGCAGTAGTTTGATATGGGAAGGCGACTACAGTGGAAACAATGAAAACGCGTACCATCATTATCTTCGCACATCTCTTTATCCCAATCCTTCTCTTTGATTCCATGGCTCTTGGTAAGTGACAAAGATAGCCTGTGACACCTCATGCATAGATAAGAATACTGATCCATTGTTCTAGGTCATCACCCTTTGGTTCCTTCATTGCTTTTTTATTACGGTGTTCATTGTTGTCGTTATGATACAGTATATGATCCCATTAGTGGATGGGTCCTTTGTGGTATGTATGGCTATCATTTTTGTATCTTTCTCTTTTTATTCGCGTGCTAACATGAGTCAACTCCCGAAAAAGAGTTATGCGATGATCCATCTATCTTCGTGCCTCTGCATGTCAAGAGATACTAGATCCACAGCCGGATGGAAAAGGAGGCATATCAACAGCGATCACATGACTCTTTTCAACCACATATTGGAGCTGCAATGGTTATAGTGGATGGATGCAATCAAATGCAGTGATGAGACGCCCTGGAATGATACTTTGGTTACTTGGCTCGGCACCAGCAGGGACGATGGACCTTGCCAAGTGGATACGGCTGAGGATGATGAAATTAACGAGAAGGTGCTTTACAGCCATGGATGGTATTGGGATGCATACAGCAGCTAAGTTCCAATAATGGGTGAAGAATGTTTATGACGGCAGCAACCAAGAATACAATGACACCATTATCCCCATTACCTCATCCGCATCTTATTCGATATGCAATGCTATTCATTTATTGTATTTACTTGATAAACGTCCACGCTACCATGTGCTCTCCTTTGACTTTTACATTGAATGAAAATTGGATTCAAATTGTATTTAGAAGGGTGTCGTGCTATCAGCTTACATGTGCGAGATGTGGATCACTTGGTTAGTTCTGGATGAGAGGGGGAATAGAAACGTGAAGGTCGAAGAGTGAGGTTGGGTCATTTCCATCATCGTAGCGAGATGCTTTTGTTTTCTCGTCGTACCACATTCGCTAAAGCTTCTCACAAGCTGATGGCCCAAAGACAGTGAGGGGGGTAGAACGCTTGTATTGCAATTTGAGAGTGATGATACCCAACATAGTGCTTGTTACATAAGCTTGAAGATTCATGTGTGCAAGTTTCACGATCAAGGTGGGCAACTCCAGCAGATCCTCTCATTCCCAACTCTTGGCCTATTCAAGAACGATTACTCCATGCATTGATTGTAATAAAATAGCCATGTCAGCAAGCCATCACAATGTTCATTCATTATACACAATCAATAATTGATGAAGAAGATACATTTGGTATGGGGAGGTCGCACCGTTGGTTGTACAAATTTAGGAGGTCTGGCTGCATAAACGAATCGATGCGCACAGACATAATACAAGCCAATCACCCTCACAGTAAGCCATGAGGAGCTTGTTCGAGGACTAATAAGACCTTGTATTGCCGTTATTGACCCAAGTGTAAAGGGAATTGTTAATGAACACACTGTAACAAGCCGGGCGGCGTGGAGGGGAAAATCGGGAACATGAAAGGGACGAACCTTCTCCACTACCACTTCACAACGATGCAAGGTAAGACCAACTCCATTTACACTCTCCACACCACTAACTTCTGGCATTGCCAGCAATGCACACCGTCAATGGGTGAACAGGTGGTCAATGGCGACTCTTTCCAGCTGCAGCCATTCAACAACAAGTTCTCGCGCGATCTACCATTGACTCAAGCATCCATTGCAATACAACATGTACGTTCAATCGCTGCATTACTTTATCATTCAAGTCGAACATTGTGGTACTAAAGTTCGCGTGTAGATTGGTGTTGTCTCGTCTATACATGACCCGATGAGGCGTCGTGTGCATTCCTTACCGAGTTGTCCACAACAAGAAGCTTTTACATTGTCTCTTTTGGGTATGCTGACAACAAAAGCGTGTGGGTTGGTTTTACTTGTTATCTCACGTTACATTTATGGTAGGTTGAATATGTTGGATGATGGTGCCTCTGGCAGCAACAGGATGCGGGTCTCAAAGCAAGAACGCTGCACGTTGGCTCAATGGTATGCGAGGTATTGGATGTACAAAGCGAAACCTGTGAATTAACGAGACTTACAGTGAAACAGCAGCAAGACAATATGGATGACATGGATATACGGTTTTATTTGAGGCAATGATGCTATTGAGAAATACCACAAGGTAAAGTGTCCATTATGGAATTTGTCCCTCCAAGTGTGCTTACGAAAGAAATATTAGGTCAGGCTGTGGTTGGGCGATTATTTTGATCAATCAGCACGTCGTCGAGGATGTCATTGTATAGTACTGTGCTCTCCTGGGGAATTTTGGCCCGGAAACAGTGTGACTCAAGATGCGATGGCAAGGCCAATTTGAAAAGGCATCCGCTGTGCACACGGCCTCCATCCAAGTACGGCTATTGATTTCCTTGCCTACAGAGAGAAGGTGGATATCTCTTATGATGCCAATTTCAGGATCCAATGAGAG